AAGAAAGGAGAATGGGAGGAGGTATTATAGTAAAAGTTTGTAAAGAGGTACATTTTCAAGAGCTGAATGGGGGTTCAAAAAAGAGAGGGAGGTGGCTACATAGGTATATACAGTGGAGTCTGGTTATATAACTAATTACTTGTGGAGCTATAATTGTTCTAAAGTGAAATTTGTAATAAAGTGGGGCAAAAATATCCACCATCCAAAATTTCTTACTAAGTTTGTTCTTCGAAACCGGAAAACAGGCATGGATAAGAAAGTGAGAGAAAAAAGCATAGAAATACAAAATCAGCGAATGATCTCATCCGTAATAATTATGACATAACACACCAGTAGTAATAAAATTCCTCCGAGAGCCTGACCGGTGTAGCCGTCCACCTGAAACGCTGCAAACAGTACGAAGGAGATGACGACGGGTACCAGGGCGTTGAGGAGGTCCCAGGCGAAGGTGGCCAGCCAGTAGCTGGTGACATCAACTCCACTCACAAACTGCAGGTGCTTCGCCTGACGAGAGGTGGAGAGACAAAGGAAAGATACATAATAAAAACAGCTAGTAGAATGCAAGTATCCGCGTTTCAGTTTCTAGTAAGTATACTGCCAAATTATGTAACAACGCTATTCAGAATTTTCAAAATTGTCTAGTAGAATCCATTTTCAGTTTCTATATTTAGATCTTATAGTAACAATTCTATTCAAGAGTTTCTTGTCTGGATTTATACTTTTGTTTCTTTCTCGTTGACGAGGAAGAGGACGAAACTAGCCAGCAGGAAACTGTAGCCAAAAACGACGAGAGAACCAATTGAATAGCCGTTGAAATTCTGGGTGGTAGCCAGCACCTGTGGGGACATGGAGAAAGAGGTGAGTCTTCGATTCTTGAAATTTGGTACTGGAATCAGACCTGGGCCTCGGCGTTGCGAGGGAGAGGGTGGTTGTTGACGACGAGGGTTAAATCTGAGTTTCCCGGCATCTTCCTCAACCAGATGTTGTGGAAGGCGTTGAGAGCTGCGGCAGACATGTGCCATGGCTACAGGAGAAATTACATCATCTCCAATGAAACACATTAACACATAGATAAAATACAGTGGAACCCTCTCTTAGGACACCTCTCTAGGGACACCCCTGAAGTGAGGACACCTCTCTAAGGACACCCCTGAAATGAGGACACCTCTCTAGGGACACCCCTGAAATGAGGACACCCTCTCTAGGACACCCCTGAAATGAGGACACCTCTCTAAGGACACCCCTGAAATATGAGGACACTCTCTAAGGACACACCCTGAAATGAGGACACCTCTCTAAGGACCCCTCGGAAATGAGGACACCTCTCTAAGGACAACCTGAAATGAGGACACCTCTCTAAGGACACCCTCTGAAATGAGGACACCTCTCTAAGGACCCCTCTGAAATGAGGACACCTCTCTAAGGACACCCCTGAAATGAGGACACCTCTCTAAGGACACCCCTGAAATGAGGACACCTCTCTAAGCACCCCTCTGAAATGAGGACACTCTCTAAGGACACCCCTTGAAATGAGGACACCCTCTCTAGGGACACCCTGAAATGAGGGACACCCCTCTCTAGGGACACCCCTGAAATGAGGACACCCCTCTCTAGGACACCCCTGAAATGAGGACACCTCTCTAAGGACCCCTCTGAAATGAGGACACACTCTCTAAGGACACCCCTGAAATGAGGAACCCCTCTCTAGGGACACCCCTGAAATGAGGACACCCCTCTCTAGGGACACCCCTGAAATGAGGACACCTCTCTAAGGACACCCCTGAAATGAGGACACCTCTCTTAGGACACCCCTGAAATGAGGACACCTCTCTAAGGACACCCCTGAAATGAGGACACCCCTCTCTAAGGACACCATGAAATGAGGACACCCTCTCTAGGGACACCACCTGAAATGAGGACACCTCTCTAAGGACACCCTGAAATGAGGACACCTCTCTTAGGACACCCCTGAAATGAGGACACCTCTCTAAGGACACCCCTCTCTAAGGACCCCTCTGAAATGAGGACACCTCTCTAAGGACACCCCTGAAATGAGGACACCTCTCTAAGGACCCCTCTGAAATGAGGACACCTCTCTAAGGACACCCCTGAAATGAGGACACCCCTCTCTAGGGACACCCCTGAAATGAGGACACCCCTCTCTAGGGACACCCCTGAAATGAGGACACCTCTCTAAGGACACCCCTGAAATGAGGACACCTCTCTTAGGACACCCCTGAAATGAGGACACCTCTCTAAGGACACCCCTGAAATGAGGACACCCCTCTCTAGGGACACCCCTGAAATGAGGACACCCCTCTCTAGGGACACCCCTGAAATGAGGACACCTCTCTAAGGACACCCCTGAAATGAGGACACCTCTCTTAGGACAACCCCTGAAATGAGGACACCTCTCTAAGGACACCCCTGAAATGAGGACACCCCTCTCTAAGGACACCCCTGAAATGAGGACACCCCTCTCTAGGGACACCCCTGAATGAGGGACACCTCTCTAAGGACACCCCTGAAATGAGGACACCTCTCTTAGGACACCCCCTGAATGAGGAACACCTCTCTAAGGACACCCCTGAATAGGGACACCCTCTCTAAGGACACCCCTGAATGAGGACACCTCTCTAGGACACCCCTGAAATGAGGACACCTTCTTAGGACACACCTGTAAATGAGGACACCTCTCTAAGGACACCCCTGAAATGAGGACACCTCTCTAAGGACCCCTCTGAAATGAGGACACCTCTCTAAGGACACCCCTGAAATGAGGACACCTCTCTAAGGACACCCCTGAAATGAGGACACACCTCTCTAATAAGGACACTTTCTTTTCCCCAAGAACTATTATTGCATGCAATTCACCCCTGAACAGGACACCTCACTAATACACTTATAGGACACTTTTCTGGTGTCAGGAATTAAGGATTCCGCTGTATACAATGAAGTGTGCAACTGACGTTGTTGTTGTAGTACACTGTGGCAGATATTATCTCGGTTGAGGTTGGTCTATTTGGTGTGTAGAGAGGCAGTGAATCGAACGCCCGCCCCTCAGCTCATACGGAGACCTGCTGGAAGATGTTGGCACTGGTCCCGTCCACGAGAACCGGCGTCAATATCCCCCGTTCCCCCCGCTGCCCCCCTCATAACGAGCTGGGCAGTTTTCTTGACTTTCCAAAAAATCCAAGTCTGTCAGGTGAGCTGGCGACGTTGAGAGAGAAATATTCACTACCGTTATTGACCTCGGTTGCACCTGCGTAAACTGCTCTTCCACTAGTTTTTGTACAAATGGGGCAAAGTTCATGGAAAACCGCCGCACGACCCAAAATTTTGTTTCATCATGTCATACAAAATCCGCCCAGAACCCTGCGGATGAAGCCTCATGATCTAATCGTTTGCCTGTTCGATGAGGTGCTCGTCGACGTAGACGAGGTGGCTGTCAAGTGTCCCATTACCCCGTTGATGATGTCATCGTACGAGAGGCGGGGCGGGGCGGGGCAGAGGTCCGTACGCTGGGTCTCGAAATTGCGTGAGTGGATTTGTGCAAGTTCCGGAGATTACTTGTAGCTTCACAGCATCTTGTTAAAGGGAATGTGTGGCAGAATAAATTTAGAATGTGCTACTAAAAACAGTGACGTAATTCATTCTTGAACTGAGCCCTATATGCAAACACACAGTCACACACACACAGTGCACGTGTGGATTGGAGGCGCTACCAGCTGAGCTGCTCTGGTAGTTCAGTGGGTAGAGCGCTCTGCCTAGACTGCCGAGTGTCGTGGTGTAGAATCCCACCCAGGGTAGCCTCTTCTTTAAGAGTTGTAGATAATTCCTTTGCCTTTGTTTTGCGCGGCATCGTTGATGTATAATTATAAATACACACAGACAAAGTCTGGGAAAGACAATCTCACAAAATGGGTGACTACTGCAGCATCGATCTTACAGTTTCTGTATCCAAATCTGCCGGAACATTTCTTCAACTCACTCGCATTCTAAACAAAAACCTAAGAAAATGGCAAGGTTATGAGATTATTCTAAACAGCAATAAAACATGAAAATGGCAAGTTTTACACTACTGAGATTATCTCTCTCTCCCTCTCTCTCTCTCTTACCTGTACGGCACAGAACTTGTCCAGAATCTGGTTCCTGTATCCGCAGCAGTCTGACGATTGATTCCTGGGTATTTCACTAATGCGCTCCATGATTTCGTTGATAGCGTTGGTGTAAGATGAAAGCTAGTAGCACCAATGCCTGTTACTGTCTGTAAGAAGAAGAAGAAGTACAATGAAAAGAGCAAATTTAACCCTTTTGACACCATGGGCATCTGCTTAAATAAGCAGTAAGTATTAGCGCCTAGTATTATAAATTCTTATGGACTTATGGAGACTGCCGACACATTAATGTGTCCGTGGCTGGTTAAGTGCCTAAACACAAAGACATGAAAAACTCACAAGTAAGACATGAGTGGAATAAGGAGAGAAGTAAGGGCTCAAAAACAAAAAGTAGTAGCATGTATTCAATTACACAGGACAAAAGGAGGTGAAAAAAGCACGGATAAAGTAAGGAAGTAGGGCTAATGATAGAGAGAAGCAGGCCTCACCGTAAATTCAAAAACAGAGCCCAAATCATCGAACTCGGCAAAAAACAGAGTTCTATTCGACGAATCCAGCCCAGAATTTTGTACCGTCAGGGCTCTGATTGGATCGTTTTCGTTGGCATTGGGCAGAGTTACGGCGAGAATGAGGCCAAACAGGACGAAGAGGAGGGGGAGGATGAGCTGGCTGATTATGGCCTGCCAGAACCGCAGGGTGTTGTAGGCTCTCTTCATGAGCATCGCGGAGAACTGCTGGAGCCAGAGGTTGATCCCTGTGTTATGGACTGAGTGGGGAAGGAGAGAGGAAGGGAAGAGGGAGGAGAGAGGAAGGGAAGAGGGAGGAGAGGTTTATAATGCACAGCTTAAAGCTACTTTTTATATGTGGTAAATGCGGTACCTGAGCAAATCACTAAATCATTAGCTTGCAATTCGTAGATTTTATGACGAGCTGTCTAATTTTTTAAGTACACACTCCAATTGACGTGTAAGTGTGGTTGTGTGTGTGCTGCATGTGGGGAAAATGACGCAGTAGGCACTCAATAGTAAAACTAATGTTTTTACACGAGAGTGGGTAATAGAGCTACGATTAAACGCTCACCGAAATCTTTTGGAGGTGAGAGAGGTGTCTTGAGGGAGCTATCGTCTCCAGCCGTCTGTATATCTACCGCCACCTTCTCTTGGGGCAGTACTGCTACGTCGTCGGGGGCAGCAGTTGGTTCTTCTTGAGATATTACCGCAATCTCTTCTGGAGGTGAAGCCACCTTCTCTGGATAGGGAGCTAACACAATAAAAGAAACATTCAGTCAAAGATATTAAAGGCCGTAAGCTATGCAGTATATATACAGAGGAACCTCTCTCTAAGGACACCCCTGAAATGAGAAAACTACCCCAACAAGGACACCTTTTCTTTCCACAATAACAGTTCCAGTATGTAATTTAACCCCCGAAAAACAACTAGGTTAATTCATTAGCAATGTAATGTACAGGTTATCTCAGTAAAACAAGTATAGCGGAAATGTGTCCCAGTATAATACTATATATACCTGGTGGTGCAGCTTGTGTTGGAGAAGGCAATGGGATATCGGTCAGCGTTCCCGTCCTTTTAACCCTGTTCAATCCATACACATAGATGTTTAAATGTCCATAAATGCCTATTACTTCATGTGGCCATAATTAGGAGGTATTCCAATATTAATCCGTACACATTGTGATGTTACCTTTTCTCCAGCGACTCGTCCGTGCCTTCGCCAACTTTGATGAAGACCTCCTCCATGGTTGTGATGGAAATGCCGAATCCAGCTATACCCAACTGTTCCTTGCGAGCTATGGAGATGCAGTGAGGGAGAGAGATGAATCAAAATTAGTATATACTATGGACTTGAAACACCTACACATCATGTATATACATACACCATATTAAATTGGACATCAAGTGTACTGTATATATGAGCAATTCACCAGCAAGTACAATAGTCTAAACTGGGCACCAATGGTACAGAAGAAAGTGTCCATATTAGTGAACAACTGTTCTTGGGGAAAGAAGAGGTGTCCTTATTAGAGAGGCGCGTCCTCATTTCAAGGGTGTCCTTAGAGAGGTGTCCTCATTTCAGGGGTGTCCTTAGAGAGGTGTTCCACTGTATACACACGTACCTTCAAGAGTGTCGAAAAGTTGCGGAAAAGAGTTGGTCGAATTCGAGGGTAGGACGAAGGATAGTTCCGTGCCAACGTCGGTGATCTTCTTGCTTCCCTGGACCAGGGAGGCCACTATGGATGTGACGCTGTCCGAATTACACGACGGCTCCTTCACCACTACCATGTGGTAGCCAACCCCATACCTGGAAGAAAATGAAAGAAACAAGTGTCAGTAAAATCTTGGTTGAAACAGACACCATAGACACCATAGACACCATAGACATCATAGATACCATCATAGACACCATCATAGACACCATAGACACCATAGATACCATAGACACCATCATAGACACCATAGACACCATAGACACCATAGACACCATAGATACCATAGACACCATAGACACCATAGACACCATAGACATCATCATAGACACCATAGATACCATAGACACCATAGACACCATAGACGCCATAGACACCATAGACACCATAGATACCATAGATACCATAGATACCATAACATCATCATAGACACCATAGACGCCATAGACACCATAGATACCATAGACATCATCATAGACGCCATAGACACCATAGACATGATAGAGTTGAAACACAACCGTATGAGTACAGCTGATAATGTGCCGACCTGCTCTTGAGGAAAAGAGAGGATCCCGAGCAGCGAAGTTTTCCTTCCGCCATGATCGCTATCCGGTCTCCCAGCAAATCTGCCTCATCCCTACAACCAAACAAAAACAGGAACTTATGAGAAGTTAACTTTATGTGGAGAAGGAGAGGAAAAGAAGAAGAGAATGAGAGAGAGAGGTGGGGGAAGGAAGAAGAAAAGAAAGGGAGAGAGGAGATGGGAGAGGGGAGGAAGTCCTCACATGAAGTGAGTGGTAAGAAGCATGGTCCTTCCTTTCTTGTGTTTTGCCAGAAGATCCCAGATGGCCCTGCGGGCGTAGGGGTCTATTCCTGACGTCGGCTCGTCGAGAACAACGATCTTGGAGCCTCCAATGAGGGCTATTCCAACACTACACACACATACATTGCAGCACAGATCACAAATATCATTCCAACACACAGTACATACGCATCACTTATGTACCTATATACAAATTACTGTACATATACAGAATGCAACACATTATGGCAGGTGACGCGACAATGTCGCGCATGCACATTGTGGCAAAGTTAAGAAAACTGTATTAATGAGACAACTCTATACGTAGGCTTGCTTCGGTCACAAATAAGTAACAAAAAACGGCTCAAAACAAACACAAAGTGGCCTTGCCTCAGTTTTCTTTTCATCCCTCCGGACAGGCTGCTGGATGGCACGTCTCTCTTGTCTTTGAGTTGAAGATCTTCTATCATACTGTCTGCCTCTGCCTTCGCCTCTTTTCCGTTCAGACCCTAATCACAAGCAACGTGAAGCAACACAAGACTGATCTATGCGCTGAATCAAAACGAAACACCCAATCTTTATTCTACAGAAAAATTACTTCTGGCCTTGATACCAAATTTTATGATGAAAAAAAATGTATGGAACAAATTTATGGAAAAAATTTATGGGGATGGCATGGTGAAAGTGAGAAATTACGTATGTTGGGAAGCTGGGCTAACCTTGAGTCTCCCAAAGAGGGTGAGGTGTTCCCTGACGGTGAGTCTGTCAAAGAGGACATTGTGCTGGGGACAGATGCCGAGACTGTGTCTGATCTGGTCCATGTTGCTCCGTATGTCATATCCATTGATGACTGCTGTACCTCCCGTCGGTGTGTACAGACCTGGGGGGGGGAGAAAAAAGAGAGAAATGGCAAAAAGAAGAAGTGAGGAAAAAGGAGGTGGAAGATTAGAAAAAAACAAGATGACGAAAAACAAGGAAAAAGAGGACGTGAAGAGAAAGGAAGAAGAAGAGAAGTATAGTGGTAAAGAAAATGGACGAGGAAGAGGAAGGGAAGGACATCCATGTATGCAGTCAAATAGCTGGATGTACACCAACCAGTGAGTATGGACATGGTGGTGGTCTTGCCGGCCCCGTTGTGACCCAGGAGAGCAGTGATCTGACCCTCGTACATGTTGAGGTTCAGACTGTCCACCGCTACCTTCCTCCTCTTCTCTCTCTCCTCGTGGCTAGCCAGCAGCTTTACCAGCAGGTTCTGTACCACGCAGACACAGGGTACCAAATTAGAGCTGATTTCAGTAGGTTCTGTATATACCATGCAGACACAGGGTACTATATACATTAGAGCTGATTTCAGTAGGTTCTGTATATACCATGCAGACACAGGGTACTATATACATTAGAGCTGATTTCAGTAGGTTCTGTATATACCAGCAGACACAGGGTACTATATACATTAGAGCTGATTTCAGTAGGTTCTGTATATACCATGCAGACACAGGGTACTATATACATTAGAGCTGATTTCAGTAGGTTCTGTATATACCATGCAGACACAGGGTACTATATACATTAGAGCTGATTTCAGTAGGTTCTGTATATACCATGCAGACACAGGGTACTATATACATTAGAGCTGATTTCAGTAGGTTCTGTATATACCATGCAGACACAGGGTACTAAATTAGAGCTGATTTCAGTAGGTTCTGTATATACCATGCAGACACAGGGTACTAAATTAGAGCTGATTTCAGTAGGTTCTGTATATACCATGCAGACACAGGGTACTATATACATTAGAGCTGATTTCAGTAGGTTCTGTATATACCATGCAGACACAGGGTACTATATACATAGAGCTGATTTCAGTAGGTTCTGTATATACCATGCAGACACAGGGTACTATATACATTAGAGCTGATTTCAGTAGGTTCTGTATATACCATGCAGACACAGGGTACTATAACATTAGAGCTGATTTCAGTAGGTTCTGTATATACCAGCAGACACAGGGTACTATATACATTAGAGCTGATTTCAGTAGGTTCTGTATATACCATGCAGACACAGGGTACTATATACATTAGAGCTGATTTCAGTAGGTTCTGTATATACCATGCAGACACAGGGTACTATATACATTAGAGCTGATTTCAGTAGGTTCTGTATATACCATGCAGACACAGGGTACTATACATTAGAGCTGATTTCAGTAGGTTCTGTATATACCATGCAGACACAGGGTACTAAATAGAGCTGATTTCAGTAGTTCTGTATATACCATGCAGACACAGGGTACTATGTACATTAGAGCTGATTTCAGTAGGTTCTGTATATACCATGCAGACACAGGGTACTAAATTAGAGCTGATTTCAGTAGGTTCTGTATATACCATGCAGACACAGGGTACTATATACATTAGAGCTGATTTCAGTAGGTTCTGTATATACCATGCAGACACAGGGTACTATATACATTAGAGCTGATTTCAGTAGGTTCTGTATATACCATGCAGACACAGGGTACTATATACATTAGAGCTGATTTCAGTAGGTTCTGTATATACCATGCAGACACAGGGTACTATATACATTAGAGCTGATTTCACGTCTTAATCTCGTGCTATTAATTTTTAATGAATTATAAGCTCTCACGGCATCATTACCTCATCATAAATCTTGGTCAGGTTATTTATGCTGATTCCAACTGGCAGATCCTTAGGCTCGTCCTCGTGAGCCGATGGGTCGTGGCCACCAGTCCGTTCGGAAACCGCATGGCTTGCCTGTGTGTGTCAATAACAAGGTATCATGGTAAGGCAAAGGCAGAGCAAACAAGTCAACTACACCCAGCAGGACAGCTCTTATTTTCAAAGGAAAAAGTAGACAACATGCCCCATGTGACGTGATATGACACCAGCTGGTTTGCCTGTGTGTGTCAATAACAAGGTATTATAGCACGGCAAAGGCAGAGCAAACAGGTCTCAGTTCTACTCCAGACAGAAGTTGGTTCTCAGTTCTACTCCAGACAGAAGTTGGTTCTCAGTTCTACTCCAGACAGAAGTTGGTTCTCAGTTCTACTCCAGACAGAAGTTGGTTCTCAGTTCTACTCCAGACAGAAGTTGGTTCTTTGTCTTTTCCTCCTGACCTTTGTATATCTACCATCTATCTTATCAGTAATTTACCATCTATCTTATCAGTCATCTACCATCTACCTTAATCAGTAATCTACTATCATAATCTACCATCTATCTTATCAGTTATCACCTACCAGGTCAACCAAGAAAGGAAGTTGACTTAGCTATCATATCACCTTGTGTTTACACAGAATGTACCTTTTTCGTTTTTGAAGTGAGAGGTCTTCCGAGCCAGTAGGACGGTTGAAACGGAAAATAGATTGGTTTCGGGACGCCATACTGTCCCGGCTTCACTCCATTCACATACCTGAGAGATACGTACATGTAGGTAAAGTCAATAAGTATGGTAGCACGTTTTTGCCAACGTGAGTACTCCGACCATTACAAGAACTGTTTGTGTCATTTCCGCACATGTATCGCGCAATTCTGGTGACCGCCAATGAAATTACAGTTCAAAGGACACCCTGAAACGAGGACACCTCTCTAATAAGGACACAAAAAGTAAACCTGATACGAACATCTCTCTCACTAATACTTTCTTTTGTGTCATTAGTGTCCAAATTAGAGGGCAGCCCCATTAACCCTTTCCCCACTATAATCTGGTCATGCCCGGATTAGAAGGGTTCCACTGTACACGCTTACCATGCAATGAGCATGTAGACAATGGAATCGACGATCAACATAAGGAACACGTATCCAAGGTGAAAGTCGTCGTCCAGGGAGATGTCCTCCGCAAAGTTTCCCCACTGGACCCCCTCCCCTCTTATCTCCAGGAGAGATATGGTGTTGATTCCGAGACCCATGCACGAGTTGGACAGAATGCAGAACGCTATCTTTCCACCACTGTAGAGAGAGAACAACACACTGTTCAAACCCTTGTCGGAAGGGGTTGTAATGAAGGAAAAGGCAAGAAAAATAAGTGTTTAGGTACAGCGAGATAGTATCGCTATTCCACCCTCCAACTATAGTCAAAGTATCAGGGATGGTTAGTTTGTCGTTTCGTTTACTCACGTGCGTACAACAAATGCAAAACAGTTCAAACCCTTGTCGAAAGGGGTAGGAAATTGCTAGAAAAATAAGTGTTTAGGTACAGCGAGATAGTGTTGCTATTCCACCCTCCAACTATAGTCAAAGTATTAGGCATGGTTGGTTTGTCGTTTCGTTTACTCACATGCGTACAACAAATGCAAAACCGTTCAAACCAGGGGTGGTAATGAAGGAAAAGGCAAGTAAAATAAGTGTTTAGGTACAGCGAGATAGTATCGCTATTCCACCCTCCAACTATAGTCAAAGTATCAGGGATGGTTGGTTTGTCGTTTCGTTTACTCACGTGCGTACAACAAATGCAAAACCGTTCAAACCCTTGCCAGAAGTGGTGGTAATGTAGGAAATTGCTAGAAAAATAAGTGTTTAGGTACAGCGAGATAGTATCGCTATTCCACCCTCCAACTATAGTCAAAGTATTAGGGATGGTTGGTTTGTCGTTTCGTTTACTCACGTGCGTACAACAAATGCAAAACCGTTCAAACCCTTGCCAGAAGGGGTGGTAATGAAGGAAAAGGCAAGAAAAAGAAGTGTTTAGGTACAGCGAGATAGTGTTCAACCTACATACTGTGGAATCCCTCTAATCTGGACACTAATGGGCTCTTCTTGGGGAAAGCCTTATTAGAGACGTGTCCTCATTTCAGGGGTGTCCTTAGAGAGGGGCTCCACTATTATATCTCAGAGTAAGCGACTTACAGATCAAGGTTATTATACTGCCCAGGAACAAAGAGATAGGGAACGTAGTTCATAAACCAGCCAAGAAATCCGACCAGTAGTCCCACTCTTGCCGTGTTGAACCAAACACTAGAGTGGTGGAATGAGGGAGGTGGGGAGGAGAGAGGAGGTGGGGGAGTAGTAGAAAAAGTAGAAGAAGAAGAAGAAGAAGAAGTGAGATAGGTAGAAAGAGGAGAGAGAAGAGTAAAGGCGGCCATTTCAATGCACAATGAGATGAACTAACCTCAGGAAGAAGCAGAAGGAAATGAACGAAATAATGTAGAGAATGAAGAAGATGAGAAGCAGAAGAAAGTCCGAATTCGGGAAAACCTGTCCAAACTACACAGAGAGAGAAAATTTTCAACGGGAATGAAGCTGGAAGGATATTATAACTCTAGAACCTTGAGAAGAATGGTGACGAAGATTGCAGAAATGAGGAGGAGAATGAATTGTTTGATGAACCAGGTGGTCCAGAGCACCCACTGCTGGAGCCCCATCATCAACATTGACTCTCTGATACGAGTCTCTTTCTCCAGCACAAGCTCCTATCATAACACAGTTTGTCATATGTATGAAAACAGACAGACATATGCAATAATGCTCTTTGGCCCTACGGGTGCCATAGACATAGTGAGCTGAAATAAGGTGAAGTTGCAAGTGAACGAGAATTCACTATTTTATGGGGCAACTTTGAGCACCATCAGCCATAATGGCATCAAATACTCCTCTTTAGCTGGTTGGCATAGAGAAGCAAGCCACCCTAGTAACATTAATACGTGTAAACTGCAGAAATATCGCACTCACATGCGGTGCATTCGCTGGTGTAAAATAATACCTTAGTGAAGATTCCAGCAGAGTAGATATAGGCCAGAATCACAAAGAACGGTAAGATGGTGACTATGATAGAGAGAAATACGTCAATGGTGTACTGAGGGTAAGGCAGCTGCCGCATGGAGACAGATATCTCCGGCTGTAATACACCCTCGCACTCAGTCATGTCTGAGTTAGCCATCAGTCGAATTATGGCCTCTCCAACTACGTTCTGAAGATGAACGAACCCTTCGCTCAAATAGAAACTATAGGGACGGAGAAAAATTGATAGAGGGTGAACATGAGAGTATAAAAAATTTTCAGGAGAGAGAAAAATTTTTTGGAAAGAGAGAGGAAAAATTTTTGGAGGGGGAGAAAAAATTTGGAAGCTGGATAAAAATTTAGGCTGACTTGTTTCTGACGCGTGGTCCAGTTAGCTGAAAGTTTGGAGCAGCCTCGCGAGTTTCCCAGGAATCATCTTCACCGACTTCATGTCTGAGTCTTAGAGTGTATTCCAGCCGCCCGTCATTTTTAGTTCTGTTGACATTGTTGAATACAATCCCTGAGAGAGTAAAGAGAGAAGAGGGATGGAAGGAAGGGGGGGACGGAGGGAGGAAAAAGGAAGTGCAGAGAGGGGAGGAAAGGTAGAGGGGGAGAACCCACATTCACATTTTACTACAGCGTTTATTAACAGAGGAATTATACACTACTGCATTACAACTCAGCACTTTTTTTAAGGAATGTGCGTAGTACCGTATAGACTAGGGGTTATGCTCCAGGAAGCACCTTGCATCATAATGTCAAATTAACCCCATTTGCATCATGTGTCAAATTAACCCCATATGTACCTCTGAATAAGGGACACCTTGGGGAGATCGAAAGTCTCCTCCGAGGCATCCCCTATTTCGGAGGTATTGCACTATAATTATACAGAACCAAGTATTATTTATGAGTAGGTGTCCTTTATTCAGGGGTGGCCCCTTGTTGAGAGGTACGTAATAGTACACAAATCTATTTGTATAGGGCAGAATCTAGTGTCCTTTAAAGGTGACTACTATTTGGAGGTTCCCTTTGTGGGAGATTTCTTACCTGCTCCGCCAATGAAGCAGCCAGCATCACCTCTGACAGGGATAGTGAAGTTACTGTCATCCACCGGGATTCGCATGGTAAACTCTAGTGGAGGGTCCACGCTGTTTTCACTGAGATTGCCCAACAACATCTGCTCGTTTTCGACACCCATCACATTTGCAAACGGTAGTGCCTTTGATATGCAACTTGCAATCCTTTCTGTTTGTTATAGAGAGAGGAGGCAAAGTAGGGAGTAAAGGGTTGACAATGAAACGTCTAAATATATGACACCTCGTTAATGTACTTCATTCGGGGCATTCTCATACTTTTGTATGAGGCATTTTTTATTTTTATAGAGAGTCCTTAGAGTGTCACCTTTCAGAGATTGCACTGTATATCCCTTAATAAATGAGACTCACCCGTGTCATTATTAACTATAATTAGTAGCTCACCCGTGTCATTATTAATTGGGGTGTAGAAGATCTGATAGGTATTGTTTGGTAGAGGCACAGTGAGTGGGTCGGAAGGAAAGGTCGTGAAGCATTGATCTTCGGGCTGGAATATACCAAACCTGCATACATGTGCACATAAAGGCATCAATGTATGGGCATGATGGTTCACCCATAAGTTGCATGAATAGAAGTGTAGTCCATTGTTGCATTGGCCCATCATACTCATGCATCTGAGATTTTGTCCCAAGCATTGAAGTTGTGCGTGTATGTTGGCATAGAGGCCACAGTTGGTCCCACAAAGTGAACAAAGTGCCAGTAACTAATCTTCCACTTCTTTGCAAGTATTCATAACTGCAACACATGTCTACCACATGGCTAGATAATTATACTGTAAATTCCTCTTGTAGCCAGAACAAACTAGTAGTGACCGTTTACATAGCTAGCTATGTTTGTTGCATAACGCCCTCTTGCTAATGAACACTTGTCCGTTGCGGGCAGACATAAGTACAGTGTACTATATACGGTGCAGAAATCAGCTTCAGCTTCAAAGAGCTGCAGGCCGGCGAGTTCCGAGGACGCGACATCTTCGCTAACCTTAGTCCTATCAGGACAACAACGGCCAGCGGAGGAATCAGCAACTCGAAAACGGTCCCGATTGGACGACGGATCTGCAGGAGACGAACACACGCGCATATCAACAACACGCGCACTGCAGCGACACACGCGCTACAGCGTGGTGCATGGTTCAGTGTAAGTACACGATCGAAACAAACGGCTGGTACAGGCGGCATGTAAGCTTACTGCAGGATGGAAGTTTTCCAAGTACAAAGACAGGAACTGCCACCATACGACTGAGCATTGCTCGCCACCTCGCCCGCCATATCTCGGGCTTGCAACAACGAGCAAGAGGAACAACTAGCTATCTTACCAGCACTCCCTCTCCTTTGTGCCCCCCCCGCCCCCGTAATTAATTTATGCGCGCGTAGCGAGCGTATTACGTAAGTGCGTAATAATTACAGCGCGTCTTAACAAATGAGTCATGCTGATTTCCAACATGATTCTAGTCATCAGAATGAGTCAATTGCCAAGTCACCACTACTGGTGCAGGGACTATACAAGAAGATTCTTGTTTCTCGAGCTCCATCGTCGACTTGTAGTCAAAGCTTCAAAACGAAACACAAACTACTACGCCCGTCGTCCTTCTTTCTGGTGCGACCATTGAACTTGAGGACAGTTTTCCGAGCAGCCGAGAGTGAATAAACTCCTTCTCTCCTCGAGCTCTTCCTCTGAGTCGTCCAAAAGGTCTCCCATGTCGTCATTGGGGCTCAGTTGGTAGCTGCCTTGGGAGAGAGAGAGCGGGGGCAAGTGATGAAACACTTCCCCCCTTCGTGGAAAGACGGTTCCAGCTGCTGAAACGAGATGCTCACAACGTGATGACTGGGTTTGATACCGACAGGAGGACTTCGCACGGGGGGCCCAGCAACCAGACTCGGAGGCTTGAGGAATATACGAATCTGCGGGCAAAAGGTGTGCAGAGCGATTGCTGCGATTTTGAAACGGACTCGAGCTGGGTTTGATTCAGCTTGAGGAGAATGGTGGTCGCAGCATTTGATCGGAGGAGCTTCTTCCCGATAAGGTGTGCATAGCCAGGGGTCGCGGGGGGTGTGAATGAATCGGGGGATGAAATGAAGAGGTGTGGGGTGAACTGCTTTGAACTGCTGACTCGGCCGGCTGGTGGGCGGGGTCGGGGGGGTTTTAACAGACGCTGTTGGATGTCGCAAAAGCGTCTTCATTAGGGGCTCTCCCGACGTAAATCCGTCCGGGATTTGGTCCGGACAATCCGGGATTGCGTGGCCACTTTGTTTGACGGACCGACTTGTTTCACGTCCCTTGCAGCGAGGAGCACAACGGCCGTAGTGCTTGGGTTGTTGAAGATTGACCCCTTCACAAACTTCGAGGGCGAGGGGGGTCCAACCAAACCGACGTTTATAGCTTCTTCCGCGACGCCCGACCGTTGTCGCTTTCTCCCTGTCTACACCCAGCCTGAGCTCGCATAGAAGGAAAATCTTTTGTAGAACACGACAAGAGTTGCCGAAACTCTATCTGGTGAGGGCTCAGCGGATCCTTGAAAATCGATTTGGATCTCTTGTCTTTGATGCCCCCGTCCGATTCCTCCCTTTGCCGTGGGTCCACGGCTGCTCGTCGGATTTGCGTGCCCCGGGTGGTGCACCGAGCGAGAGCACGGCGTTCGCCGCCGCCCAGCCAACCGACGGTTGTCTTGGGGCGATTGCCGGCTAGCCCCTCGCTCGGAACCGCTCTGGCGGCGCGTTGGGGGTGCGGCGTGGAGGAGCCAGGACGCGGCCATGGAAGCAGTGGTTTTTTGCAGCGGTTCTTCCGTTCTTGGCCTCGGAGACTGGCACGGTCTCGAAGTGCAGTGCGGGACAAGAAGTAGGGTTGTCCACTGTGATAGAGACGCAGTACTCGGCAGCTGAGCGCCTCTTGCAGTGGCGGCCAGAAGTAGGCACAGGTAGCCGGATTGAGCGCAGGGGCCGGCTGGGGCCCGCACGAAACGAGTAGAGGACCCGTTCCGTTTCAGTAGGAGAGACAACGTCGCATCTTCGCCGAGCGAGCCCTTAGAGCTCTCTAATTATGAAAAAAGCTGCGCAATAGCGCAGCAGCACGTGACTGCAGCCGGCACTCACTAGGTAGTGCTGCGGTGTAGTACTCCGTGCCTCACATACCCCATAATACTGTTTGTCTCTCTCATCTGTCTCGTTATAGGGGACCAGTGGAGGGGCGAGGACCCTCAACTTGTACGCACCGACGTAAGTAGTTAGCTAAAATCAAGACCCATCGTAGCTCACAACTACCCTCACCATTATCCCTACCTCTCACCGCGGCCCGCCATACAGTCCTTCTCTCCACCATCGAGACCTGCTGTACCACGCTTACTCCACACAACAGCCAGCCCCGCCCGACAGCAGAGCCACACCCCGAGAGGAGAGGCTCACCGCAAAGACGAGGGGTCATACTCAGAGCGTGAGAAACCGAAAGCTAGCTACACTCGTCTCCTCTAACTCGTTGCACTTTCATGTCGTTGGGGTCGCACCACAAGCTGCATGATATATTAGTCAGCAGTGTCCTATTCCGGGGTTGACGTTGCAATATCGTAGAGAGGGGAGAGGAAACGAGAATTAGAGAAGCATATCAGAGAGGTGTCCTCCATATCAGGGTCCGATGCACTAGAGAGGATGCACATATACTTCTCACATTCTTCCAAACACATTTCGTCTGCCCAGGGTCTGCACATAAAGATGCGACAACAGCATGACTGAGTTGAGGTGAAGAGAGCGACATCACATAGGCTCGTGAATCACGGGGTGTGCTCCCAATAGGAAACTGGACGGTACAACCGACCTAGGATTCAACAGAACAGACGCTACATAGTCATCTATCAGGCTCTCACATACACACAGAGTAAATGAAAGTGACATACACCATGCAAGAGAGAGCTGGATGCACAAAGGGAGTCATGTGTATGTAAGGAGTGAATGTATCCAGGTATCTTCTGTGTCTTCATTCTCACAGCAAACGCAAAAGAGTCCTGCCCGGAAGGAAAATGCTGCCAACAGATTGTGTCTCTTTTTCGTCAACTTTTGTGGCTACTTGTGCCACTCATTGATGTGAGTTTCACGTTTACCCGCATATACCCTCTTTAGGTCACGTGACTTTCAGCAGCAGTTGGTCACATGAGGACATTCCTCTGTCATGTGCGACCATATATCAGATACTGTCATAGTGACTTCCATCATCAGTGCGTCAGTGACGTTGGCTTGATTTCACTTCATCAGATTCTGACGTCAATTATGACATCCTCCAAATCACTCATGTCTGACACATGACTGCAAGGTGGATTAAACCTTTGCTTCCTCACTTAGGACATGGCAGCGTAGTGATCTATGGGTTGTTTTCAATCAGTTGAACCCTCTACCTTCTCATATATTACCACCCTCTCCTAGTCGCTCCACGACACTACTACGCGCACGCCCGGGACACTGCGATAGTGGACTTAGTACACACACCCCTCGCTCCTGCTTCAGTCTGCTATTTCGAACCCCGTCTCCTCCTGCTAATGCTTATAGTTCATGTACCCTCACGCTCATGGTGAGGCAGCCATTCCTCTGACTATGAGAGACAAGACAGAGTAGAGAAGACAGAGTACCGAAGCGGCCACCTCGAATGCGAGCAGCCAGCACCTCTCCTCAGCTTCTGTCGCACCGATCAGGATTCTGAGGACATGAGGTGTTTGGAAGCGCACTGAATACTGTGAGCCTGCACATGGCTTAATATAGGATCATCATTTTCTTTGCTGTATTAGTGGACAACTCAGCAGAAACACCTGGCAATTTATGTGAGAGTGCAGCGACAAATGGTTTTCGTCCGTGAAGTGACATGAAACACACTTCAAGGGCCGCGAGTGGATCCAAGTTTAACATTTTCGTGGTCAACTATTTTCCTCTCACCTCAGAAGCTTCCCTGCTATCATAATGTGACATGCTATTAAATAGTCACATTGCTTGCTAATTTAGAACCAACATGGTGTGAACTGTTCGCCGACAATGCTGATATTTCCTCAACCTGGTCCACGCCAGAGGAGGCCAGAGGAGGAGGGCGGGAGGAGAGGAGGAGAGGACCTCTGTGCGAGAGAGAATCACAGCATGGTGGGGACTCAGGAATGTCGAGGCTCACCCTACTAGTGAGTCCATCAATGTGATGGATGAGAGTGTGATGATGGATGGTATGGTTGATACTACACTGACTGGAACCCTAATTGATGTGCATGACATGTGGTGCCATAGTATGTGAATAGTACCGAGCTATATTACTGGACTACGATAATATATCTGCTCCGAGACAGTAGTCCGACATGTGATGAAACAAAAAATGACGTGCTATCCCGATTTCTCTGCTTTTATGTTATTTATGTCAGAAAGAAGTAAGAGATTTTGCCGCATGCACTGGTGCACTACAATATATATTTTACAACATACTGTCGTGTTCAGTGCAAGAAGAGCCATTTTAACTGTTAAGTTATGGTGTTTACATTGGATGTGTGTACTCTCTCAAACTAATCTCACAATAGCGCAGTGCCCACACTTAAGATAAGTAATAATAATGCACAGGAGAACACCATCTGTGGACCACTGTGGGTGTTGGTGGAGTGCCACTGCCCGACTACTTCACCTGGGGCATCCGTGCATATCCGCCCTGCGCGTCGCGGTCGGATTTGGAATCTCATCTCGCGACATTTTCACCACTGAGCTTCGTCTGATCCAGGTCGAAGGGGCAGCCACAATCACCATTGAGAAGAAAGACACTTGGAAAGTCTTGCGCAAGGTGACACCAAGCATGGCAGGATACAGCTTTCATCAGATGAATTCTCATGGCATCAGTGCTCTAAGAGCTGCAGTGAACCCCTACGCTGCAGTGGAACCCCTCTCTAAGACCCCTTTGCATTCGGAGAATGAAAATGACAGAATGAGACTCGTTCTTCGCCCTAAGAACAGTTCTTTCTGCAATTGAATAAGGACACCAAAGTTTGAGGAATTGCCGAATTTTATTTTAAGCAGATTTCGTAAATTTTTGATGGTGATGAATCTGCAACCACAGCTGTGTTTGGAGAGGTGTCTGGTGAGCGAAGAGGAGAGGGAAATGGGAGGAATTCCTTGAGAAATGGGTCCACATCCCACAGAGTTCCACGGTCAGTTCCCTCAGAGAGACTCCTCCTCTTTCTCTCATACACCATGCACTCAGTAGTGAACCTTTCACCTCAAAATTGACACAAGTAAATAAAAAATCGGTATCGTGTACGTTAGTATTCTATACTAGTGGAGTGAAGCTTGTCAGAACGCCTGGTCTCCGGAAATTGAACAATTATTCACCACACCACATTCAGAGAAAAACAAGTTGCAGAAGAAACGTGCTGATTTGATTTTGTTGCTACTCTAGCTCTTGCCCATTCCATTCATCAGCACACTATTTATAGGAGTTGTTCCAATACTCATTTCTACAGAGTGTCCACCGTACTTAGCTGGCCAATCTGCCTCTCTGCTCAACAGTCAAAGCGGCGAACCACACTGACATATCCCTATTTAGCTCTCCATCATGATAGCGCAGTCCCAAAACTTTTCTAATAAAAGACATATTTATGGTGTTTGTTGGTTTGCACTTCTGCGTTGAGACTAGCACAGTGCATTAATGTGTGTGTATATCTGACTATATGGGTGTCTTGACTGAATATAAACAATCGCATGGTTTGTTACCTGACATATGATGGCATTCCTATATTATTATGTAGTCGATGGGTGGTGTCTGCACATGAATCATGATGCAAACAGGAAGTAGAAGACAGGAAAGCACTGCCAATTCTTCACCTCTCAATACCTCCATGGACATATTACCCTCGGCGCGCATGCGCAGCGGGTACTGTAGTTGGGTTTGTCTGCTGTTGTCGTTGTATCTCTCAATATCATTCTCGGGCGTCTAGTTCGTCCCAGAAACGATACAATCTACCCAGAGCGAGCGAGGGTCAGAAAATATGTGGGTTTTCTCTGAATGATCGTTGCGAGCTAGAGCATTGTATGGCCATTTCATCGCTGGCGGCATGATGTGCATGCGCTTATTGTAGCACAGGCACCTCGACCGGGTCCGCTCGGGTGCTATCTACTACTGTAGCTAGCCGTGTCAGACTCTCTGTGAGCTACTTCGTCGAGGGTTTGCACTTATTACACTGTTCCATTCAAGTAATGGGTGGTCTTATGGATAGCACCCGTTCTTGATAGTGAGGTCCCTGGTTCGATCCGGGTGTGCACGCTTTTTACAATGATGTATAGAGTGTGTGGTATATGGAACGTTTTTTCATCACCTCTCAAGGCCAGCCCGAGTGGCTAGGTGGTTAGAGTGTGGGGACTGACACCATAGGTGTCCCGGTTCGAATCTCGATCCCGCACTATAAATGTCGGTGGTCAGAGCATTGGCTGGGAACAGCTCTGGTTCCTCCCTTACCCACAAAATCTACCACTGACCCATGTTTCTCAAAGGGCAGCGTATAGTTCGGCATAGCACTGCGTCCGTAGACGTCTGTCTGGAGAGATGAAGGGCTGGGCGTTTTTTTTATTGCAAATTTTTTTGCACTAAACAATCCACAGGTAATACGAAATTAATAGAGAGATGAATGGTTTGCAATTTTTCAACCTTATATATTTTTTGGGCCTCAAACAGAAATGGGGCGATGACCATTTTTCATGGAAATAGTGCATAACATGCTGTTCTATGGTCAAGACCATCAATTGTGGTGGTGCCACACTTGTGTATGGGTTCCACAGTGTGCCGAGGGTTTGCACTTTAGTGCTTTTCATTGTGTATGTAGTTTGCTGACAAGAAGCTTGCAGTTTGCTGGTGAGAAATCTAACAACTTCCTCTACCACTCAAAAGTTCATAGTAAGCCACTTCCTCAAGACTTTAACACTAGGGCTAGCCACTTCCTTCACACTTCACACCAATAAGTGGGAGTTATAGCTAGATACTGAAAGAAGCATTATACAATGTATGGGGTTTCTTAAGGTGTTATATAATGATGTAAATGAGGAAGACCATTGCACACTGTCTTGAGAGCACGTAACCAGAGAGTATAAAAACGTTTCAAGTAGGTCCCTCAGCATAAGCATAGAGAGAACTACTCCAACAATCACAAGAAAAAGTTCGTCTGAAGTCAAAAATCGATTGACAGAAATGGCATCAAGAACAACCACCCTTGCACTCTTGCTGGTAGCTGCACTTCATTTCACTGCCGCAGCTCCCCAAGGTAATCCTTACTGACTACTTCTCCAGAAACTCTAATTGACTATCAGTTGTTGGTTTTTTCTTTGCTGCAAGCTTTATATCGATCCCTTAGCTTTTGCACTGTGCTTATTACCCTCGGCGCACATGCGCAGCGAGGGTTACTGTAGTTACCCTCGGCGCGCATGCGCAGCGAAGGTACAGTAGTTAACCCTCGGCGCGCATGCGCAGCGAGGGTTACAGTACTTGGGTCTGTGTGTGTGTGTGTGTGTGTGTCTGTCTGTTACTCTCAATCTCACTTCTCGGGTGTTTGTTCGTCTCACAAAGGATACGACCTACTTAACGGGCAATGAAGGTCAGAAATTTCGAACGGTTTTCTCTGAAACTGCTCCGTTGCAAAGCTAGAGCGCGAAAAAGCCAATATGCAAATACACAACGGACGGGACGGCTTACCACGGTCTGATCGATCCGCGTGCTCTGCGTACCTCGCAGGCACCAGAAGATGCAACGCAGGGCGTGTATCGCCTCTCGCATGCTACCTAGTAGTGTAGTTAACCCGCGGCAGACTCTGCGCGAGCTGGGAAGAGACCACGAGTGACAGCTAAAACTAAACCCAGCCCATCAATTAGTGGTACGGCGCATGCGTTTACATACGCGTGCGCGTAACAGTGCGCCGAGGGTTTGCACTTCAGTGCTTTTCATTGGGTTTGTCCGTGTGTGTCTGTCTGTTACTCTCAATCTCACTTCTCGAGTGTCTGTTCGTCTCACAAAGGATGCGAGGTACCTAACGGGCAATGAAGGTCAGAAATTTCGAACAGTTTTCTCTGAAAATGCTCCGTTGCAGAGCTAGAGCGTTTCCGCCATTGTACGGCTAATGTTAGTCGGCCATTTTTATCGCTGCGGAAAATGCGCATGCGCTTATATTTTGAACAGGCTCGCTAGCTCGGGTCCGCTTGCTCTGAGGATCTTGAAGGCACGAGAAGTCACAACGAAGGGCATGTATCGACTCCCACATGCTATCTACTACTGTAGCTAGCCCGTATCAGACGCTCTAGCGGGAGACCATCGAGGTATACTACATACTAATAGCAGCCCAGCCCATCAATTAGCGGTACCGCGCATGCCCAGTTCGCCGAGGGTTTGCACTTTAGTGCTTTCTGTCTGTCTGTGTGTCTGTCTGTTAGTCGTCACCTCACTTCTCGAGTGTTCGTTCGTCTCACAAAGGATACCACCTACTGAACGGGCATTGAAGGTCAGAATTTTCGAACGGTTTTCCCTGAAACTGCTCCGTTGCAAAGCTAGAGCGTGAAAAAGCCAATATGCAAATATACAACGGACGGTAAGGCTTACCACGTTCGGATCGATCCGCGTGCTCTGCGTACTTCGGAGGCACCAGAAGATGCAACGCAGGGCGTGTATCGCCTCTCGCATGCTATCTAGTAGTGTAGTTAGCCCGCGTCAGACTCTGCGCGAGCTGGTAAGAGACCGCGAGTAACAGCTAAAACTAAACCCAGCCCATCAATAATAGTGGTATATACGGCGCATGCATTTACTTACGCGTGCGCGTCACAGTGAGCGCCGAGAGTTTTCACGTCAGTGCTTTTCATTATATAATAATAATAATAATAATAATAATAATTTTTATGACAAAGAGGAGCCAGGGAGGCTATATATTAGTCAAGCTATGTACAATGTAATAAAAAAGCGGTATGGATAAAACGTGCCACTGCATCATTTATATTCTTATTATCGGATTGTAGTAAGTACACGAATTTCTGCTCTGGTGAAAGCCACTTATATCCAGGAAACGCTGCTTGTATTACTTGTTCCAGATTGTTACGTAGGTTTTTATACTTTGAACATTCGCATAGGAAATGCTTCTCATCTTCTACAGATTTGCACTTGTGACAGAGCCTCTGACTCACTGGGACCGACTTCGGTTTGTGGTACCTCCCACATTCAATTTCCAGACTGTGGCATCCAACTCTAAGCCGAGTCATAGAAACTCGGAGCGCTGCTGAAGTTATATTCAAAAGATAGGGCTCCATGCCAAACTCTTTCTTGAATAATCTGTACGATCTCAGTTTGTTTCCACCTTGTCCAGTCAGGTTATGTTCACGTTCTAAATTGGCATGCCACCTTTGAATAAATTGGTCACGGTATGTGAACATAATTGTATTTTGCGTGTTTTGATCAAAAACACAAAACTCTGAGAGTGGAGTAGCATAACCGGCAGTATTCAAGAGAGTAGCCACATTTGAAACCCAACACTTCCCCCCACAGCTAGCAGTGAACAGTGACAGGTACTTTGCTGCTTTGAGTAGTGCATGAGCATCATCTGAGTAAATCCTGTTCCAAAACTTCAGTATTCTCTCCTTCCACCATAGGTTAACAGGGAGCTGGCCCAGCTCACCATAAACAGCCATGTTAGGTGCTGATGCTGGTAAATGTAGTATCTGCTTGAGAAAGCGGAGCTCTACTCTCTCTAGACGTTGATCACCAGTGAACCCCCAAATTTCAGACCCATAACACAATATGGGCTTCAACATTGTTTCATAGAGCTGTAGTATAACTGGGATGGGGGGGTTGTCTAAATGTTTTAGTATTGTCAATAATGAAAACATTCCTTTGTTTGCCTCATTGGCTAGGTGCTTTTTGGCCACATGAAACTTTCCATTTTTTGCAAACCATATCCCTAGATACTTGTAAGACTGCACTTTTTCCAGGATATGATTGTTCAGTGAAAATACGTTAGAATTTCTATCCCCACCAAAGACACATACTTTGGTTTTTTCTGTGTTGACTTCTAGTTTCCTTCTTTGGGAAAAGTCTGATAAGGTGGTTATGTGTTTCCTTAGACCTGCTGCACTTGAGGAAATGAGGACCACATGCGCAGCGAGGGTACAGTAGTTGGGTTTGTCTGTGTGTGTGTGTGTGTGTGTGTGTGTGGTGTGTGTGTGTGTGTCTGTCTGTTACTCTCAATCTCACTTCTCGAATGTCTGTTCGTCTCACAAACGATACGACCTACTTAACGGGCAATGAAGGTCAGAAATTTCGAACGATTTTCTCTGAAAATGCTCCGTTGCAAAGCTAGAGCGCTTCCACATTGTATGGCTAATGCCGGTAGTCGCCATTTTATCGCTGGCGGATAATGCGCATGCGCCTATATTTAGCAAAGGACCGGGTCCGCTTGCTCCTTCTATCTTGAAGGCCACAACGAATGGCGTGTATCGACTCTCGCGTGCTATCTACTACTGTAGCTGGCCCATGTCAGACTCTCTGCGAGCTACTTCGCCGAGGGTTTGCACTTTAGTGCTTTTCATTGGGTCTGTCTGTCTGTCTGTTACTCTCAATCTCACTTCTCGAATGTCTGTTCGTCTCACAAACGGTAGCTACGACCTACTTAACGGGCAATGAAGGTCAGAAATTTCGAACGGTTTTCTCTGAAAATGCTTCGTTGCAAAGCTAGAGTGCTTCCGCCATAGTACGGCTAATACTAGTCGGCCATTTTTATCGCTGCGGAAAATGCGCATGCGTTTAGATTTTCAACAGGCTCGGGTCCGCTTGCTCTGCGTATCTTGAAGGCACGAGAAGTCACAACGAAGGGCGTGTATCGACTCCCGCATGCTATCTTCTACTGTAGCTAGCCCGTTTCAGACTCTCTGCGAGCTACTAGCGGGAGACCACGAGTAAACGCCTACTAATAACAGCCCAGCCCATCAATTAGCGGTACCGCGCAAGCCCAGTTCGCCGAGGGTTTGCACGTTAGTGCTTTTCATTGGGTTTGTCTGTGTGTGTGTGTGTGTGTCTGTTACTCTACATCTCACTTCTCGAGTATTTGTTCGTCCCAGAAACGATACCATCTACCCAACGGGCGACGAAGGTCATAAAATATGTGGGGTTTTCTCTGAAAAAGCTCCGTTGCGAAGCTAGAGCGCGAAAAAGCTAATATGCAAATACGCAACGGACGGGAAGGCTTACCACGGTCGTGCTCTGCGTACTTCGGAGGCACCAGAAGATGCAACGCAGTGCGCCGAGGGTTTGCACTTCAGTGCTTTTCATTACCCTCGACGCGCATGCGCAGCGAGGGTACTGTAGTTAGTAGTTACCCTCGGCGCGCATGCGCAGCGAGGGTACTGCAGTTGGGTTTGTCTGTCTGTCTGTTACTCTCAATCTCACTTCTCGAATGTCTGTTCGTCTCGCAAACGATACGACCTACCTAACGGGCAATGAAGGTCAGAACTTTTCGAACGGTTTTCTCTGAAAATGCTTCGTTGCAAAGCTAGAGCGCTTCCGCCATTGAACGGCTAATGCTAGTCGGGCATTTTTATCGTTGCGGAAAATGCGCATGCGCTTATATTTTCAACTGGCTCAGGTCCGCTGGCTCAGGTCCGCTTGCTCTGTGTATCTTGAAGGCACGAGAAGTCACAACTAAGGGCGTGTATCGACTCCCACATGCTATCTACTACTGTAGCTAGCCCGTGTCAGACGCTACTAGCGGGAGACCACGAGTATACTACATACTAATAGCAGCCCAGCCCATCAGTTAGCGGTGCCCAGTTCGCCGAGGGTTTGCACTTTAGTGCTTTTCATTGGGTATGTCTGTGTGTCTGTTACTCTCAATCTCACTTCACGAGTGTCTGTTCGTCTCACAAAGGATACGACCTACTTTTAACGGGCAATGAAGGTCAGAAAATATGTGGGATTTTCTCTGAAACTGCAGAGCGTGAAAAAGCCAATATGCAAATACACAACGGACGGTGCGGCTAACTACGGCATAATCGCTCCGCGTGCTCTGCGTACCTCGGAGGCACCAGAAGATGCAACGCAGGGCGTGTATCGCCTCTTGCATCCCATCTAGTAGTGTAGTTAGCCAGTGTCAGACTCTGCGCTAGCTGGCAAGAGACCACGAGTAACAGCTAAACTAAACCCAGCCCATCAATTAGTGGTACTGTGCATGCGTTTACTTACGCGTGCGCGTCACAATACGCCGAGGGTTTGCACTTCAGTGCTTTTCATTACCCTCGGCGCGCATGAGCAGCGAGGGTTACTGTAGTTAACCCTCGGCGCGCATGCGCAGCGAGGGTTACTGTAGTTGGGTTTGTCTGTGTGTTTGTCTGTTACTCTACATCTCACCTCTCGAATGTCTGTTCGTCCCAGAAACGATACCATCTACCCAACGGGCGACGAAGGTCAGAAAATATGTGGGATTTTCTCTGAAAATGCTGCGTTGCAGAGCTAGAGCGCTTCCTGTATTGTATGGCTAATGCCGGTAGTCGCCATTTTATCGCTGGCGGATAATGCGCATGCGCTTATATTTAGCACAGGCTTACCTCGACCGGGTCCGCTTGCTCTGTCTATCTTGAAGGCGCAAGAAGTCACAACGAATGGCGTTTATCGACTCTCGCGTGCTATCTACTACTGTAGCTAGCTCGTGTCAGACTCTATGCGAGCTACTTCGCCGAGGGTTTGCACTTTAGTGCTTTTCATTGAGTTTGTCTGTCTGTCTGTCTGTCTGTTACTCTCAATCTCACTTCTCGAGTGTTTGTTCGTCTCACAAAGGATACGCCCTACTGAACGGGCAATGAAGGTCAGAAAATAAAGGCGGTTTTCTCTGAAAATGCTCCGTTGCGAAGCTAGAGCGCGAAAAAGCCAATATGCAAGTACACAACGGACGGGATGGCTTACCACAGTCGGATCGACCCGCGTGCTCTGCGTACTTCGGAGGCACCAGAAGATGCAACGCAGGGTGTGTATCGCCTCTCGCGTGCTATTAGTTAGCCCGCGTCAGACTCTACGCGAGCTGGCAAGAGACCACGAGTAACAGCTAAAACTAAACCCAGCCCATCAATTAGTGGTACGGCGCATGCGTTTACTTACACGTGCGCGTCACAGTGCGCCGAGCGTTTGCACTTCAGTGCTTTTCATTTACACTGTTCCCATTCAAGTAATGGTGGTGGTCTGATGGATAAGCACCCCCTCTCTTGATCCTGAGGTCCCTGGTTCGATCCCCGGGGATGTGCGCCTTTTTTACATGACGTAATAGGAGTGTTGGCTGTTGGTGGTATAAGTGGAACGTTTTTTCATTACCTCTCCAGGCCAGCCTGAGTGGCTAGGTGGTTAGAGTCGTGGGGACTGACACCATAGGTGCGGGGTTCGTATCCCGATCCTGCACTAAAGTGTCAGGTGGTCCAGAGCATTGGCTGGGAACAGCTCTGGTACCTCCCCTTACCCACAAATCTACCACTGACCCATGTTTCTCAAAGGGCAACGTATAGTTCGGCATAGCACTGCGTCCGTAGACGTCTGTCTGGAGAGATGAAGGGCTGGGGGTTTTTTTAATTGAAATTTTTTTTTGCACTAAACAATCCACAGGTAATACGAAAATTTAATAGAGAGAGAGGTTGCCAATTTTTCTTATATATTTTTTGGGCCTCAAACAGAAATGGGGCTGGCCAATTTTTCATGGAAATAGTGCATAACATGCTGTTCTTTTTGATGCATGGTCAAGACCATCAATTGTGGTGGTGCCACACTTGTGTATGGGTTCCACAGTGTGCCGAGGGTTTGCACTTTAGTGCTTTTCATTGGGTCTGTCTGTTTGTTTGTCTGTTTGTCTGTTACTCTATATCTCACTCCTCGAACGTCTGTTCGTCCCAAAAACGATACCATCAACCCAACGGGCGACGAAGGTCAGAAAATAAAGGCGGTTTTCTCTGAAAATGCTCCGTTGCAAAGCTAGAGCACGAAAAAGCCAATATGCAAATTATACGCAACGGACGGGATGGCTTACCGCGGTCTGATCGATCCACGTGCTCTGCAACCTCGGAGGCACCAGAAGATGCAACGCAGGGCGTGTATCGCCTCTCGCATGCTGGTGTGATCAATCACTAATTGAAAATGCTGTTGTGAAAATTATGGTGGCAAGAACATACGACCTTTTGTGCATTGTGTAAGAACTACGTTGATCGAAGAACTGCACGTAGCTACAACCTCTGTTGGTTTACGGCACTATACAACAGAAGTGTCTCCACTCCTCCACACACAATGTTGGACTGTGTATAGCTACATTCCTGCACGTGGCTTGTGACTGGCAGCAAGGGCAACAGGGGATAATTTGAAAAAAGAAGCTCAATCAATAGCTTTCTAGGCAGTCCTTTTAACCTTCTGCCAGCAGATTCCCAAGCAATTAGCTATGCTCATCTTTTTTACTTCTGTCACTTCCGACTTCTTAGTGACGATTATCAGTTTTCTTGCATGGAATCTTTGCAGCAATCATGCTGATAGACTTCAGATGGACTCGACTACTTTGATGAATATTCGTAATGGTTCCTTGCTCATTTGCCAGGACTCTCTAATAATTACTTGTTGGCGCAGTTTTTGGCTGTGAGCTTTCCAGCTATTATTTCCCCCTGCTCAGAACATGGCAGCTGTATTCTGTGATGGAACCCTTTTCAGGAAAAATCGGCGTGCTTGATCAATGATGGGGCAGATTGAGTTCCCAGAAGTGCTGATATCTTCCGTGGCTTCTACTGACTATAAAACTGGCGCTAGTTTACAGTTTATTCAAACGAGAGAGGATCGAGTTCTTCGTCGATAGTCACTTCAGACTTCAGGATCATCCCCTTGCATCTGACTGCAATGACTAAAGCCACGAGCTACCTCTGTCTGGTGCTTGTAGCACTAGCCCTCGTCTCCCCGAGTCTCTGCTACCCTCGCCATGATTGGGCACGTCGCCCTACAGGACCAGGAAACAGTAAGCCCGGACCATCTATGCAAGAACAAGTTATGCAAGGTGAGGAAACAGCAACATGCAAATGCTGCTCATATTACTAGAAGAATGGTGAACATTGTTGGCGAGCGGGAGCGACCCAACTTGGGATTTGCCCGCGATGTTCGGGCTGCATAACGTCCCGTCAGCGCACAGCTTTCCTCAAGCAATCTTTCAGATCTCATAATCTTGTTTCTGTCTTTCTTTAGGTCCTGTCATAGAGCCTCCACAGTGTCCCATTCCTGGTCAGGTGTATATGGAGTGTGGATCGGCCTGCCCTCCTACCTGTGATGATTATTTCAACCTCGACCTCATCTGTCCCCTGGTGTGCGTGCCAGGCTGCCAGTGCCTCAGTGGTTTAGTGTTGGACAATGACCGCTGTGTACGTCCAAAAGACTGTGAGTTTCATTGCTTTACAGCTCTAATCCAGCCACCAAGAAGGGGTCCATATTGAGTGAGGTGTCCTTATTTCAGAAATGGTTAGAGATTGCATGCAAGAACTGTTCTTCGGGAAAGAAAAGGTGTCCTTATTAGAGAGGTGTCCTCATTTCATGGGGTGTCTTTAGAGGGGAGCTCCACTGTATAGGCCAAGCAATCTTGCAGATTTCATAATCTTGTTTTTCTGTCTTTCTTTAGGTCTCGTTATAGAGCCTCCACAGTGTCCCATTCGTGGTCAGGTGTATATGGAGTGTGGATCGGCCTGCCCACCTACCTGTGATGATCTCAACCCCATCTGTCCCCTGGTGTGCGTGCCAGGCTGCCAGTGCCTCAGTGGTTTAGTGTTGGACAATGACCGCTGTGTACCTCCAAAAGACTGTGAGTTTCATTGCTTTACAGCTCTAATCCAGCCACCAAGAAGGGGTCCATATTGAGTGAGGTGTCCTTATTTCAGAAATGGTTAGAGATTGCATGCAAGAACTGTTCTTGGGGAAGAAAAGGTGTCCTTATTAGAGAGGTGTCCTCATTTCATGGGGTGTCTTTAGAAGGGAGCTCCACTGTATAGGCCAAGCAATCTTGCAGATTTCATAATCTTGTTTTTCTGTCTTTCTTTAGGTCTCGTTATAGAGCCTCCACAGTGTCCCATTCGTGGTCAGGTGTATATGGAGTGTGGATCGGCCTGCCCACCTACCTGTGATGATCTCAACCCCATCTGTCCCCAGTGGTGTGCGTGCCAGGCTGCCAGTGCCTCAGTGGTTTAGTGTTGGACAATGACCGCTGTGTACCTCCAATATACTGTGAGTTTCATTGCTTTACAGCTCTAATCCAGCCACCAAGAAGGGGTCCATATTGAGTGAGGTGTCCTTATTTCAGAAATGGTTAGAGATTGCATGCAAGAACTGTTCTTGGGGAAGGAAAAGGTGTCCTTATTAGAGAGGTGTTCTCATTTCATGGGGTGTCTTTAGAAAGGAGCTCCACTGTATAGGCCAAGCAATCTTGCAGATTTCATAATCTTGTTTCTGTCTTTCTTTAGGTGAGCCTCCACAGTGTCCCATTCGTGGTCAGGTGTATATGGAGTGTGGATCGGCCTGCCCACCTACCTGTGATGATCTCAACCCCATCTGTCCCCTGGTGTGCGTGCCAGGCTGCCAGTGCCCCAGGGGAACTGTTCTGGACGGAAAACGCTGCGTTTCACCAACAACTTGTACGTTTCTGATAATCTGTGCGCAGGCATTCAGCTAACATTGTGTCAATGTTTCTGCAGGTGATGCCAAGTTGGTTGAACTGGAAGCAATAGATCAGAAAATTGTAGGATTAGGCATTCTCCAGCATTAGTCTCTATAACTTGTCTTCCATGCTCTTGGTGTAGTTTGGTGTGATCAATCAGTAATTGAAAATGCTGTTGTGAAAATTATGGTGGCAAGAACATACGACCTTTTGTGCATTGGGTGACAATGAGAAAGAAGTACGTTGATCGAAGAACTGCACGTAGCTACAACCTCTGTTGGTTTACGGCACTATACAACAGTTTAGGTGACACGATTTAAGCAACTGTCAATCACACCACAGTATATATAAAGAGACCTAGAGATACACCATGAAACTACGGGCAGGTGATCTCAGTTTTGAAGCTTGCCATAGTTCTAGCAACACCAGTCACTTAAAAATGTCGTTACTCTGGACTTCTGGTTGATACTTGGCTCAACAATAACAAATAATTGCCAAGCAAATGATCTGACATCGTATCATGACTCCATATGGTGCTAGAGTCAAAACATGGAAAAGTAATCCTTTCTCCTAGGCACACAGACCTGGCATTGAAGGCAGTTGAACCCGGATGTGTGCGTCTATGTTGTAGGTTTTGAAATGACAAAATTATGATTCTGGCACATGATGCTTGTATTTCAACGAGATGCTATTTGGCACGAGTTCATGAATCTTGGCAAAGGATTGTAGAGGAAGTTTGGCCACAGACTCCTGTATTATGACCAGAATGCTTTCGGCATTGGTACTGGGGAATCTTGGCAAATGTTATTGTTCACAGAGGGAATAAAAGAGCAGCCTTGACCGTCATTGTGCAGTAGCTAGAGAAGTTCTGTCTCTTGTTCTTGTGAAGTTAAATCAGCCGAAGACTCAATCCAGTCATGTTTCTGCAGTCAAGTATCATCCTCTTGTTCATAGCAGTCTGCTGTATTGCAGCACCTTCAGTTACATTCAGTAAGAGTAGAACTTTAATTTAGTCATTTAGACAATTATTGTTCATCTAGCAAGTAATTCTGTAATGGGGATTCTTACTGCATTTTATGAAGATGTGCTTCTCTGAAGCAACTAACAGCTCACAATGTGGGTTTCTTTACCCACTATTATAGACCATTGGACCACCAGATGCAGTGTTCCCGGGCAGGTCTTCAGTCCGTGTAAAGCTGGTTGCAATCCAACATGTGACAACCTGGACCCAATCTGTGCTCTGGCCTGCATACCTGGATGCCGCTGTCCACGTGGTACCGCTCTGGAAGGTGGCCGCTGCATATCAGCCAAGAGATGTAAGAAAAGTATGCATAACTAAGTGCTCCGATCGATGTTATTCTATTCTATTATACAGGTGGTGAATTATCGTCCAAACCGATTGAGCTCCCATGCAGTATTCCGGGCCAGGTCTACATGCGTTGTGGTACAGCGTGTCCACCAACCTGCGAGAAATATTCAAAGCCAAGAAAATGCACCAAGCAGTGTGTTCGTGGATGCCAGTGTCCCCGTCGAACTGTACTGCATCAGGACCAAATGCATCCTTCGAAGCCAATGTAAGCCGCTGGTGATGTGTAGCTGTGCATAATGTAATGATCTATTTCTACAGGTCCAGAGTATGGAATAGAATATATCTCTCTAGCTAGAGACTGATAAAAAAAGCTTAGCCAATAGCAACTGTTATATTGTTTTTGGAGACTATACTAAAGTACTTTGCTGTCTCAAAGTTTTGCACTAAGGTATAATACTTGAAGCATAAGAGTCCAGGATAGTCTGTGTTTATATGGCCTGCATCTAGAGCTAGCTATATAGAGTGCGCATGCGTAACTAGCCCCCCCTACACATTCCGATTTCGTAATGTTAGGGGGCATCAATTAGAGTAACGGAGCGAGGGCGAGCAAGGGCCAACAAACAAACTAATTTGCTTGGCACACAGGCGTCCTGTGAACAAGACACGACTACAACATCACCGTGAATAGACTGACCATATCGAGTCACAGAGTGAAAACAACCGGGGTCTATAGTAAAGCCGCGAGCGATGGCCGAAGCAGACAGCAGCGACGTCGAGGACGGCGGAATGGCAACACACGTCCTCCAAGAGTTCTTACTGGGCGACGTGGAGGTGTGCGGGAGAGAGCTGGGCGTTGGGTCCTACTCCTCCGTCCTGGAGATGAAATACAAGGGGATGCGTTGCGCCGGGAAGAAGATCCACCGAAGCCTCTACGACCAAGGCGCGGCGGTGGGGCCCGAGATTTTGGAGCGGTACGAGAAAGAGTGCGAGCTGCTGAGCCACCTCCGTCACCCGTGTATCGTCCAGTTTCTGGGTCTCTACCTGGACGACGGGGAAGACGTGCCTATACTAATGATGGAGTACCTGTCCTGCGCTCTCTCGGATTGCATAGATATGCACGGGGTCCTGGCCAGCGAAATAAGCTACACCATCCTTCACGACGTGGCTCTGGGTCTGCGCTACCTTCACGACCACGCCCCGCCCATCATCCACCGTGATCTAACGGCCAACAACATCCTCCTGTCTTCGTCCATGCGGGCGAAGATCTCCGACCTGGGCATGGCAAAGATACTGAACCTGGCCCCCGCGCAGATGACGCACCGAATGACAGTCTGCCCCGGCACAATCAGCTACATGCCGCCAGAGGCACTAATAGCTGAGCCTCTCTACGACACAAAACTCGACTGCTTCTCCTATGGTGTCCTGATGCTCCACATGTTTTGTGGAGAGTGGCCAATCGCACTCGAGTATCTTCAACCAGACACCACCCACCCCGGTCGCTATGTCCCTCTCACGGAGATCGAACGGCGGGATAAATACCTCCGAAGCATTGGCCACACCCACCCGTTAATGCCGCTAATCCGGCGCTGCCTTCGTAATCTCCCTGCCGAGCGTCCGGGGGTCGCCGAAATCCTCAACGAGCTCAGCACCATGGTTTCTCGCTATCCCCCGGTCTTCGGGAACCACGTGGAGATGCTGGAGCGAATGCACCACGACGAGGCGGAGATAGACCAGCTGAGACTGGAGGTGGACCAGCTGCGGAAACTGCTGCATGAGAAGGAGCACGAGGTCGAGAATCTGAGGTTCACAACGGCCGGCGAGATTGAGACACTGCGAGAACAGATCGTCTGTCTCGAAAACTCGAGGGTGCTTCAGGAAGCTCAGGTAGGTATATACTAGTGGAGTAATGTCTGGTGATGACTTTTTATGTCCACGACAAACAAAATTGAAAGCAACTATATACGACGTACTATCTGTACAATAGAAAACCTGTACATATATGGTAGTAGGTTTGACACACACAACAGAGTCCAAAGCTTGCAATACAGCATTCGGACCATCACATTATCCACTCTCTCAGGAAGAGTGTAGATTCTCTAAATTCCTCCTTGTGTGTCATTTCCAGCGTTCTGAACTTCAAAAGGGCACGGTTAACCCTTGAACCGTGTCTAATCCTACTGCGGCAGAGTTGAATATTGTCGTGTGCATTGTACGTATTGCGTGCATACTTAGTGTAATGGCGTTGGTGATCTTTATTTCCTCTCAGTTTCTTCTGAACGGTTTTATTGGACAAATGAGCGAGAGTGTGGCTTTTAGTGGGCAGCGACTGTTTATTGCGTCATCTTGCGACCTTCTCACTACGCCGCTTGCCAACTGCTTCCCCACAGTTCATTACATACCCTCCCATCCAGTGTGTAGCACATACACTATTCCCTTGTCAATAGAACAAATTAGTTTTACAGTATGCTATGCAGCTGTGCGTTTTGGGTCTAGTTGTATAATAACATCGGACATTCCAATAAAGGACTAAGGACACTTGTTTCGATCCAGTGCTAATGTGTTAGTAAATAAATGACACCTCCAATATTACAGTCACTGTCGAAACTTCTCCTTTAGTTGGAGGTTCCACTGTATATGTATTGCTATCATAACCAAGCCTTGTTCTGCAGCGTGTTGTATATAGCTGCTTTGTAATGGTGAGAATATGCCAAGAATTTACTGTTGCGTATGTACAGTGGTCTCCATATAAGCAAGGATATTTATAGTTTACATACCACGACAATTATTTTACCTGTCTAAGATGTTGAAGCTAAACGTAATGCTGAGAGTAAAAATCGAGAGGGGTTCCACTGTATATTGCTATGGATACAGGTGTTGGAGCTGCAGAGCGAGAGCAAGAGGATGCAGCTGTCGGTGAGAGAGATGGAGAGGGAGTTGGCGGAGGCCCGGAGCCGCATCGAGCAGCTGTCGGAAGAGCTGGAGGCCGCGACCAGCTCAGCCCAAGAGCAGGGCCAAGAGTCGCTCACGAGGCTGAGGCGGCTGCAGAACGAACTGACGTCCTCCAGCAAGGAGAGAGAGGCAGTGTTGAAGAAGTGAGTACAGACCGAGGGAGAGAGAGAGAGAGAGAGAAGGGGGGAGGAGATGTGGAAAAGGAGAAAGATTTTAGATTTTGAAACCAATGTCATGCAACTCTCATTTAGTGGATTATGATGGATGCAACTCTCAGTGTGTGGGTAAATACTGACCTGCATGCTACGGACCCATCACACCTATGCATTTGAGTAACATGTTGCACTTGAAAGTTATGCCGTGTAGGCCAGTGTTGGCTTAGAATGATACACAAGTTTGGTCAATGGACTGTATAATAGAGGGTGCCCCTAGAACATGGGACTCATTGGCTAAAACCACTCAGGCATGTCAAGATGTGTCATGTACAGACGAGACTACAATAGCTCTACGGTTGAACTGGTGCAGTATGAGACACCTCTACAATAGAGAGGTGCCCCTATTGTTACCACAATTCTCTCTTTCTTGCCTCTGTCACTCTCTCCCTCTCTTTCTCTGCTTTTGTTTCTCTTCTTTTCTTCCTTTCTCTCTCTCTTTACTCTCTCCTTGTGTTTCTCCCCTTCTCCCCTCTCCTCTCTATATTTCTGCCATTCTCCTCTCTCTCTCTCTCTCTCTCTCTCTCTTTTCTCCCCCTCTCCTAGACTTGCCAAAGGCCACCTCGAGGCGACAGTAAAACACGTCTTCAAAAACACGGCGGCCGACGATCTTGCCAAGAATTACGACGAGTTTTTTCTCAACAAGGCCGACGATATTGCAGACCAGCTCAAGATGGCGCCTGGAGTCAGCGATTTCGATGCTCACCAGATGGTGTGTGACATGGTCCAGGTGAGCCACTGCAACAGTTCCCAAAGTCCTTCCCTACATACAGTTCTTTTGGCTTGGCATTTCTATATATAAGTTAGATGCCAAGTCCAGGAAACTACGCGCATTAGAGAGCCGCGGGGGCCCCGGGCTGTCGGCGTTCGAGCGCAGCGAGGACGCTACTAAGGGCCCCCAAGGCGCTCTAATGCGCGTAGTTTCCATGGACGAGGCGTCTAACTTGTTTAGAGCTATGGCAACGCGTGCGCGCAATTCAAATTCGGTGCATCTGAAACCGCGAACGAGCGCTGCTTTCTCGCTGGGAAGTCAAGCGAGAGGCCCAGGGAGGACGTCGACAACGGGCTCGACTCTATACACCTTCGCAGACCGTTGGGGGACTCCGCCCAACATAAGTGAGCCATTGCGCATGCGCCAAATTTAGAGTCCGGAGAAAGTTTATTTAGAGTCCGGAAAATTCGCTCTACTCGAATTAGAGTCCGCGCACGGACCAATCAGATTGCGCAATTTAAATTACCCAGCTCTAAGTATGTATAGAACATCTTTAAATCACTGGAGCCCCTCTCTGAGGACACCCTTGAAACCAACTCTTGAAATGACCAATTTGGGGGTGTCCTTAGAGGGGTGTCTGCTATTTTGGACACCATTATTGAAAGGTAGATTCTCTCAGTTTCTTGAATACAATCAGAATACGGACACCTGGACACTTTCTTCCCTCCTGCAGTCTTCTCCTATACACCTTGAGGTTGTGTCCTCTAATTCACCTCTAAGTGCGAGGTTGCACCGGGTAGTGTTTGTTGCCATGTAGCTAATGGAGTTGTGCGGTGTGTTTACAAATTGTGAGTGAAAGGTCCAGGGCTGTGCGCACGGTGGGTACGGACGGGTCTTTGATCAGAGCTTTTCCAGATTAAGTTAGCGTGTGTTGGTATATGCATACTTTTAGTGAGCATGTGGGGGAAAGGACAAGCCAACCAGCTCTGCTTTGACAAACTACTCTCAGAAGTGACTGTGGAAGATAGGGGGCCTGCAGTTTTTTTTTTTTTAGCATTGGCAGTTGAAAGGACAGACCCTGAATACCTTTACTGTATACATAATGCATAAATCCAACTTCTGTTCTTTGGACGTGCGCAGACACACACACACACACACACACACAGCAATCCTACAACCATTGTAGGACTGTGTTAGCAGGAGGAAGTCAGAGCAGCTCTGGACCGTCTCTTCCTCTATGAAGGGCACACCAGTCTTGAAGCTCTGAATGACACACAGGTTAGCCATATCATAGTCTACAATATATATATAGATATATGTCCTTTTGAAGTGCTAAATATATTGAGTGCTAACACGTACACTTTCAGTTTGATTACGAAAACCTGGAGCCTTTTGAACTCAACCCTCTCTTCTACTTGCTCAATCCGAGCTGCATTTCATATGTATGCTCTAAAGGACAATGTGGGACTGTATATGTGTTGTTAATCACTTTTTGGTACGCTTGCTATAGGTTGCTTATGTTATGGGCTTGTGTGAATGTTGGTAACACTACTCTGCTACTGTGTGGTGTGTGAACATTGTGCCCTCTCTATGCTTGCTGTGCAGGTGGCCTATGGGTTGCTGCTGAGAGCTGTTCTGAGTCAGAAACCGCCGCGAATGAAGACCATATCCGACCAGGTACAGAACACGTCGCAGGGAAATGACAATACAATCTGCTTTCACTTCTTCCTCAGCTCTTTTTCTCTCCCCATGTCTTTTCCTCTGTTCATATTAGGTCTTCTTTCTTTTCATTCTCACCAATTTTTATCTTCTTCTTTGTTGCTTCCGTCCTCACTCAGGTGTTCAAAAAGCTACAAGAGAAGACGAAATTCAAGCGGGCGATGCAGCTGTCCCGCTCGGCGATGCACCGACACGTGGACCAAGCCTGTCGTCTCACGTGGTCTCTCGTCTCGGTCTCCCCACCTCTCATCGTCTGTCAGCCACCGGTGTTCAGAGAGGAGTGGCAAGACAGGGAGTACGAGTATTGGGACAAGGGTCTCAGCAGCTACAGACTGGCCTACACCCGCCCACTGTTGTTTCAGAACTACGAGGGCAGTGTGGGTGTGAAGGGGTGGGTGGGGAACAAGAGAGCAGTGGGCACCTCGCCCAAACTGAGTCGGATGAAATCTTCGTCCTGAACGAATGTTCAATTTGTATGTTTTGTTTATTGTTTGTCTGTTTACCACTAAGATGCTGCATTCCCTTTGGAGTCCACATTCACTTCCTTTAAACCTTCAAACACGCACACACACACACACACAGTGTTGTTTTTTTCCCTGTCAGTTTATGTAGTTGTATATATACATCAGCCAAAATTATGATCATCAAAATTGCTATTCCACTAAAATTGTCTTTAATATCTACAATCTACTCATTGTCAACTATTCTAACTAAAGAAGCTCGCTGAATGATTAAATAAACATAACTCCATCATTGTTATATAGGTAGTTGATCTTCTACAACTAGTTGATAAGGAGTAGGAATGACATGAACATGGTGGCCAGCAGCAGAATGCCAACGTTCTTGGCTTGAACAGTAGCTGCAGTAGAATCGGTCACAGAAGACCCCATCTGTTTAAAGAAATAATCAAGCACCAATATGATAGGGGGTAGGGGGAGCTATTATAACAGCTTGCTATAGGATAAAAGGTCCAGTTTTGCCGATAATCACTAGCTTTTAAATTGTCCTGGTGTGTGGCCAGCTCTAGATGGCAGAGTAAGTGAATATTTCACAAAGATCAGTTTACTTATCAATTATAACGATGAATTCTTCTCACCAAGATCAAAGATTTGGTAAAGGTGGCTCTGGCTTCACCACCACTCAAAGTTGATTGCGTAAGTGACAATTACTGTACATTTGGCACAAGGGAGATGCTGCTAGTTGGCTTCGCTCACCAGATTAAATTCCGCATATCCAAAGCTGCAGTTGTTTGCTTGGATGCTGTTCCTTTCTCCCTCTGGAGCTACCCTCTCTGAAGCCGTAGCAGACGCAAACAGCTCGAGACACACTTTCACTCTCTCCTTCCACGCCTCTCCATTGCAGAGACGCAGATCTGCGACTCCGAGAAATCGATCGGGGCTCGGTACCAGCATCAACCCTGCTGAGACCCACTGGTGCTCTTTATCCACTGACAGGGTTATAGAAACGCTTCCAACCCCACTGAAAAGAATGTCGCCAAACGACCCATCTAGAGTGTTTTCTCCAGCCGCTTCTCCTTCTTGTAGGGTGATGTTAGTGTGACCGTTTTCGGCAATGGATCTCACACCGAGGGTAGGGTTGTCCATGCAGGCATCCCACATACGAAACTGCGGGTTGTGTGACAGTGCCACTGGGTTCGTGAAGGCCTGCTGGAAACCAAAGCTGTAGTCGGGATGGCAAGTTTGAGTCCAGTTGAAGGTAAAGGTGATGTTGTAGGTGGCAGGAACTGGTGCAGTGCAGCTGGGCTCTGTGGGAGCGTCCGGATTGTAGAATTCAACGTTTTCACTAGATTCACAACAACAGCTTGGGCAACCTTGGATAGGACCAGTTTCCGGGCATTTTTCAGGGACTGTATCACAGCAATTATGTATCACGAAATTGCCAGGGTGAAAAACAGTTTACTTACCTCTAGGATAGCAGGCCTCGGGAATTTCATCACGTGGTTCAAACTCCTGAAAAACAGGGAACACTTTATAAACTTTTGCAGGCTGGATTTTTTTACAGACCTCTGTTTCCAGTAGGGTCCACTGTATGTAGCCATAGCTACAGTTACTGTCACGAGGAGCTCTCTGAGAAGCAGCTCCAGTGGAGAACAGGTCAAGGCATACCCTCACACTCTCTTTCCATGTGTCCCCATCGCACAGGATTAGGTCTGCCGCTCCAGCTACGCTGTCTGGGCTAGGGTCCTGCCTAGCTACCACCGACACCAGGGGGTGGTACCTATCTACCACAACTTCGCCAGTGGTGTATCCGTCTCCGCTAGTTACAGGGCCTAGTATCACAAAATCAACCAAAAAGTTCCCGATGAGGTTCTGAATTAGAAAGTCAACGAGAGGTTGACTTGTTCCCGTGGAAAACTGAGAGAATTGCTGGCGAAATTCGTTTTTGCAAGCGCCCCAGAGTTTGAACAAGTGTTGTGGGCGATGGCATAGGGCGTAGTCCACTGAGCCTCATTGGTGTAGCTGTCGGGGTGGCATGTCTGCGACCAGGTAGATACTAGTTTGACCTCGTAGAGGGCGGGCATGGCCGTGCACTCGAGTGCGGTGGTGCCGTCTGCTGACTCAAAGAACTCGGTGTTGGAGGAGGAATTACAGCAGCACGTATTACACCCTGGAATGGTTGTTGTGGGACATGCATCTGGGAAAGTTTGGTTTGTTAGTTTTGAAGACACAATTGCTACTGTAATTACGGTTTGTGACGCAAGGCGCCGCCATGGCAAAGGCAGAGCAAACAGAATAATTAATCCAAAAACAATTAGCTGCTCTGGGTGGGATGGATTCGATCGCGATCACCCCCTCCATAAACCAAAGAAAACAGTAATCGTATACAGTGAAATTCATGCCGGCAAGATGTATGTGTACAAGTACGATGTGCTGGAACTAGCTAAGCCGTCTGCAACTCAACATGCTATACTCTGGTTACCTACCGGTGGACCGAGGGCAGTTTTCCGATTGTGCAGCGACAGTAGCTGCGAGAAATAGTACCGAGAACACGCTAGCGTGGCTCTTCATGTCCATGGCCGTTGCTTTGCGACGCAAAGATGCACTCAGTCTCGCTCAACTATAATTATACCGTGTCTGGAGCGCGCATGCGCATAATGTACGCATGCGCAGAATCGTGCTGCTCCGTAGACGATTCAGCAGAATTGACTGTTCGGGACACACTCTTCTCACGCTGCTACTCTGCTGCGGTTCTGCTCTTTCAGTGTCTGCGGGGATGGTGGACAAGCTTCATGTTAACGTGGACATCACATCCGACGTAGTATGTCCATGGTAAGACCCCAAAAGGTCACGATCGTGTTTTTGCAATGTCCTGATAAATGGAGAGATTCAATGTTTTCCCCAAGCCCACAGTACGCCTACTGGTAGCATCTTTAAGAAAATAGTTGAAGATACTGCGCTTTGCATATGCTGTATGCGAAACGTTATGGCCACAATCCATGTCTTGCAGAGAGTAAATACGATTATTTTTTGTGTCCCTATGCCAGGTGCTGGGTGGGAAAGCGGCATCTTGACTCAGCAATCGAAACACTGTCCGGAGAATTCGAGTTTCACGTCCACTGGAAGCCGTTTCTGCTTAACCCGGGCATGCCCGACGAGGGAGAGCCTCTGGAACAACATCTCAGGAAGAAATACGGCGATGCGGCAATTCAGCGTTTTCTCTCCAGCGATTCACCACTGAAGCAAGCCGGAAGGGCCGTAGTACGTACTTACCTAGCGATCTTTAAGCATTTTAATAGTTTTACTTATTTAGGGGATATCGTTCAGTCCTAATCGCATGGTGGTGCCGACCAAGAAAGCCCACATACTGTTGGCACATGCAGCAAACGAAGGAAAGCAACACCAACTTCACGAGGTAGGTAAAATCAACCTCTGCTCTCTCGTTCCTCAGAACCCTAAACAAATCGACAAAAATAGCAATGCAACTAAAAATACACACTCGTTTGTTGTTGTTGTTTATTACAACAACACACGGAAGTTCATTTCTGCAGAATTTTTTTAAAGCCTACTTTGCCGATGGGCTGAACATCGTGGACGAGGGAGTTCTGCGAGGTCTGGTGGAGAAGACAGGGATGAATGGAGAGAAGGCAATGGCAGCTCTGACCAATCCTGAACTGGTCTCAACATACGAAGAGGAGGTCAGGGAGGCCGTCAGAAAAGGTAAGCAGTTATAGATGTGTATACATACAGTGGAGCCCTTCTCTAAAGACACCCCTGACATCAGGAATGAGGACACCTTTTTCATGCAATTCAACCTCTAAAATTAGGACACCTCATTAATATGGACACTTGTTCTTTCTCATAGGTGTCCAGATTAGAGGGATTCCACTGTATATATTGAGAAATGTGACTGTTTTCTTTCTAACAGGGATTACTGGAGTGCCGCATTTTGTGATATACCTGAGAGACAGACCAGGAATGAAGCAGGCATTGTCTGGAGCACAGCCCATCGAGACTTTCATTGCTCTTTTTAAACGCCTTAGGTTAATGCCAAAAGTATAATGATGTATAATTATACAAAATCAATGCGCGCGCATGCGTAAGCGAGGTCACGTGTGGCTATGTGACGTCAGAACGTCGGCGTCTTCTTTTCTTTCGGTCCGGCTCCACGGCAGTGTCAGTGGAGATTTCGGGCTCTGTTTTAGCGCGGCTTCGCTTCCTCTTCTTCGACGGTTCTTTCTCGCTCTCCTCTTGTTCAAGCAAAGCTTCCTGTAGCCCGTAGAGCCTCGAGTAGTCTTCGGTCGACAGAAGCTCAGTCACGTGACGTCGCCGCAGAAAGTCTCGGACGCGCTTCCCTGCATCGACGGCAGACAAAGGTTCCTCCTTGATCACTTCAGCATTCACTTGCTCGCTACTCCAGCCAGACGACATCTACTTTGCAACTCTGATGCGGCACGCTCGTAAACCAGTTCCAAACGGGTTAAAATTTTGATAGGGCGCACTATTTGGAATTTATCCAACCATGTATGCTCGAGCTCCCTCCTCGCAAAAGAGGGTGAGTTTCCTCGTCCCTCCGTGTGTGGAGCTGGGTTAACGATATCTCTCCTGTGCAGAGAGGAGCTGTGAGGCGACCTGGCGCCGCTCGCAGGCCGAGCATTGTAACCACGCCTACCGGACTTGGTATAGCTAGCTACAGAGCTACATTGTTATACTGTTACAGTAAATAGAATAAGGAACACATAGGAAAGTAGGCCTTGATTCAGATACGCCACGTATTCAGATTTACTACTACAGTAATGTACATTAGCAGAGGCCTCCTTCACTAAAATTGCGAGACTGACTCGTTAATAATCATTTCTTCAGGTCGGCAGAAGCAGCTGTCCAGTGCAGCTGCATTGCGAAGGGCTCGAAAGCACTCTACGGACGGAGCAAAGATCGTTAGCCCAGGGGCAAACCCCTTCCACAGAGCCTCTTCCAGACTGCAACAGACCAATCAGATTCCGGGATTAAGATCATCGTCTGTAGGAATGACGTCATCTGCTGGAATGACGTCATCTGTCAGCATGACATCATCATCATCGCTCGCCCCGAGTGCCCTGACTGGTTCGGGAAACCCGTTTCTTGCTCGACTCTCCAAGAAACCCACGCCATCTGCCACTACGGTGTTTGGGGGAATTTTCACGAACCCCCAGCCCCCCACACTGCCCCCCGTGCACCCTCAGCCACCCTCTTATGCAGCTGCTGTTAAAGGCCCAGGCTCCGTTCCAAGTTTCATCACACACGGTCCCAGTTCCATTCCGTTAGCATCACAACACGATCAAGGTGAGCGGAGGAAGAATTTCATCAAATTTCAATGCATTTTAGTTTGTATGCATAGAGTGGAACTGCGAAATCGCCTGAAACAAGGACACCTCACTAAATGGACACTTGTGTCCCATTTGTGTCTGGATTAGATGTTTATTCTGTAGGCCAACAAACTCTTGCCGGGACGAGTGGTTTTGACCACACCCAACAGTTAGCGGGGGGCCACGCCCACAGCCAGTCGTCTGACGAGCAACCAAAGACGCTCCATCTCAAGAACGTTCCGGAACACGTCAACAACCCTCCGACGTTGAGGAAGCATTTCTCGCAATTTGGAGAGATTGTCGTCTTGGACTGCCAACCTGGAAAGAGATTTGCTACTGTTGGCTTTACCACTCGAGTGAGTCTTTGTACATTCACTTATTCTCTCTTCGTTTCTACAAAGTAGGTGATAGTGCCTGTTTAGTATACTGTATAAAACTCATTGGGACCAATAATTATGCAATACATTACTGCTCTTACTGAATATACATAAGTAGTATGTGTATATAGTATATACCTCTTTGAGCTTCCATAGATTCTATAGTAATGTGCCTACATTAACTGATGCAATACTGTCGGCTGTGTTTCCCGTGCAGAATGCCGCAGTAAGAGCCAAGAAATCGGGCAGACTTCTCTGCGAGGAACCAATCCAGATATTCTGGCACTCGCGACCTCTCCAAAGACCCAGACCAGATCCCCACGTCCCCGTTCCAGTCCATCCCTCGTCTCATTCCCAGGATCCCAGACTGGCCCAGACTCGGTTTGAAACGGGCCAACGAGTTGCTGACGAACAGGGGCAAGGGGGAGATCTTGGAGGGAGTGAGGAAGAGGCGAAGGTTCGTCGATGTTGCAGGCAGGACGGAAAAGACCAGCTGATGTTGCTGGACTGGAGACTGTGGGAGGAGGAGAAGAGAGGGAGGGGGGAGAGAGGGAGGAGGGAGAGAGGGAGGAGGGAGAGAGGGAGGAAGAGGATTGGTTGGTGGAAGCGGTGGAAAGAAGAGTGTATGGGACAGACTAGGTGGGATAGATGGAGAGGAAAGTAATCAACCGGGAACAACAAAGGTACCCCATTTGCCACTCATACACTGAGATATCTCACGGGGTGATGATGTTATGTTTACTCTGCTTTTCTGCATGATGAGAAAATCTCGTCCTTATTCTGAGCCCTCTAATGCATTTCAAGTTTTTTTTTTACTGAACTTCACTAGTTTTTATCAAAAGGTTACGGTTGTCAGTATAAATTTACAACAGGGTAAATCAAGAGTGAGGCAAAACGAAGACAAAGACTGGACTCCAGAGGGAGGCGAGGGGGGAGAGGAGGAGGAAGAGGAGGAGGAGGAAGAGGGGGTGGTGGAGGGAGAGGAATCCGTCCTCCAACAGAGAGTAGCTGTACCGAAAGAGGCAGGGGAAGACATGGACACAATTGCTCGCTCGGTATCGCATCCCTACTACCTTCGCTCACTCCACATCCCTGAGACAATTGCTGGAATCCGTGGACCGAAGGCAACTCTGGAACTTCCACAACAGTCAGCAGAAGGTGTCCCCCCAGCTGTTGTGGGCGTGGCCAGAACTTACGCTCCTCTACCCAGGCCCGACCTTCCCCCTCCTCCCATGCCTCAGGGTCAAAGTTCGGCAGATCTGTACCAAAGTCTCTTTACACGTGACGAGCAGATCAGAAAGAGTAAAGTTCTCTCTTGTCCCATAAAAATTGGGTCAATCGCTGTTTTCACTCTCTCTTTCTTTAAATTTATCCCGACTCGTAAAATTTTTGCAACTTTTTACGCTTTTCTGCTGTTTCTCTCAGATTTGGTGAGGCAAACGTCGCTGACTAGAGCTGCAGTAGTAGTGGGGGCGTGTCCCGACATGTGTCCAGAGAAAGAGCGGTACATGAGGGAAGACAGACGCAGACTCAGCTGGTTCGAACTGGACCACCATATCTCCCAACCTGGGGTTTGCTACATACATACCAGATATGTTTCTTGTAGCGCTATTGTAGAGGAAAAACTTTGTCATTTCGGCAACACACCCGAATTTCTCAAAGAAAACTTGCGCCGACTCTTGTTTCTACTATACAATTAAACGCGGAAAACTCTGCAAAATTTCTTCTCCTCCTGCTCTATTTCACAGGCTCCCAAGGTGGACCACCAACGAGCCGTGAAAGAGTATAACAGATCAGCTGCCGACAAAGTTAGTCGAGTTTCTTGAAGCGTCTACAATCTCTATCCGTTGCTCTATTTCTCTTTCTGTTTATCTGTTAATATTGAGCCTCAAAGTTGGGACAAAATTAACAAACTAAAAAGCATGTCCTCTATAGAGATTTGTTCCACAACCAGTTTTTGGTTGAACCATCTTTTATGCACACTCTTGGGTTGATTTTCTTCTTTCTCTGCTGTCTAGGCTGAAGACCTGCCCCACGAGCTGCGTCCGGAGCCTGTGCTCCTGATGACAATGGACTATCTGGTGACTTGTGTGATGGACGAACGAGAAGGCAGAACGGAAATGTGGTACGACTTCGTTTGGAATCGAACACGAGCCATTAGGAAGGTGTGTATTTCTAGTATTCTCTCAGGATACCTCTATGTACACTCTTGTATTCTTTCAGGATACTACTTGCGTTCTCTCTGTATACTCTTGCATACTCCTGTATTCTCTCTGTATACTCTCCCATTTTTTGTATTCTCCCAGGATATCACGCTGCAGCACCTCTGCTCCAAGGGTTGCGTGGAGCTCACCGAAAAGTGTGCCCGTTTCCACATCCTCTGTGCCTACCTTCTCTGCGAAGAAGAAATCAATGTTTTTGATCAGAAGATGAACCACGAAAACCTTACCAAGTGCCTCATAACTCTGACACATTTCTACAGGGACCTACGGATCGAGCAGGTAAATTATAGTAGTCACAAGCGCGTGCGTAAATTAAAAGTGTAGCGCATGCGGAAAGTAGGATAAGGTGCGCGTGATTTGGAATTCGGGGAAAGACGAGATGGCCGTTGCAAGCAGTCCCCGCACTGTGGAGAACATAAAGAAGGAGACGACGTGTGCACTGTGCCTGGACTTGTTCGAGGAGCCCAAGACGCTCCCGGCGTGCCTGCACACTTTCTGCGGGCCGTGTATCGTTCTGGCCGAGGCCGCGCGCCGCCGCCTTCGTAAGGGGGAGGCGTTCCTGCCGCTCCATCACATCGAATGTCCGCAATGTCGCTCCGTGTCAGTTGTCGAGGGAGGCGCCGAGAACATCGCCACCAATTTCATGTACGCCAACATCGTCGATCACTTGAAAAACGGAGATGCCGCTTTTGATGTCCGGACAAACTCTTCGGGTGATGCTTGTCCGGATCCGCTACCGTTGTGTCCGAAACATTCGGACGAGAAACTCAAGCTCTTCTGCTTCGACTGCAAGGAGGTGATATGCAGAGACTGCGTCCTGAAAGACCACCAGAAACACAACTTTGAGTTTGTCAGGGACGTCGCCGCAAGGGAGCGAGAAAATCTGGTTCAACTGGTTTTCCCTCTCGAAGAGAAACTGGTCCAACTCGCTCAGGCCGGGGACAGTGTAAGGGAGGCTCGGAGAGACCTGGAGCGAGTCGGGGAGGAGCGAGCGAGGGAGATTTGTGCTGCGTTCGACCGCTGCATTCAGAAAATCGAGGAAAAAAGAACTCATTTTCTGAGGCTCTCCAAAACTACGACGGAAGTAAAGTTTGGGGCAATTGACAAGCAAGGGAGCGAACTGGATTCAATCCTGGCTCGGGTATCAGATCTATTGTGTAGCAGTACAGCGGAAGTCCTACAGAAAACAAGCGACGTTGAAGTATTTTTGAGAAGGAGTGAGATACACTCGAGAGTTAGGATGTTGACCAGGGAGATTGAGTCGGCACCTATTGGACCTAGTGAAAGAGATAGGGCAAAGTTCACCATGGATTTGGAGTGGCTGGGTGGTCTGGGGGAGATTGCCGAGCTTCCGTGTCCAGAAACCAGTTTCGTCGAGGATTTCAAACAGGTCACGCCGGTTCAGAACGAGGAGACGACCGTCGCCGTGGTAGCACAGAACCCCGAGGGACACGCCCTCGTCCATGGGGGCGGGGCATGCTCCGCCCAAACCGTGTGCATTCCTCCGATGAGCAGCGAAGCTCGCACACAGACGGCGCACGTGACCGACAACAAGGACGGTTCTTACACTGTGGGATTTACTCCAGAATACCCCGGCAAGATCTCCCTCGAGATATCCTTCGATAACAAACCAATCCGTGGAACTCCATACGAAATGGACGTACTGAGAAACTTCAGAAACATCAAACTCGAACCGTTTTCCTTCCCACTTCCCGGCGGCAACCCCTGGGGTGTTTCGTTGCTAAGCAACAGAGAGATAGTGGTGACATCGTCTGACAGCATGGCCCACGTGTACACAACTCGGGGAAAATTGGTGGAGTCGATAAAATCGAACTTCAAGCGTCCGTACGGGATTTGCAGTGAGGGAGAATCCGTCTTCTGGGTGACTGACCGCGAGGCGCACAACGTCCAGAAATTCCAGCGAAGCACCCACAGCGGAAGATTTGAGAAAGTGTTCCAATTTGGCCTCCGGGGGGTGAACCCTGGGTATTTTTCGCACCCCCGCGGCATCTCAGTACACGGAGCCAGTGGATTGATTTACGTCTCGGACATGAAAAACCATAGGGTCCAGATCTTCTCACCCACTCACCCAGTCCCGTCGTACAAGAGTCATTTTGGTGGCCCTGGGAAGACCCCCGGACTCTTCGACCTCCCCGCCGGCATGTGCTTCGATCGCCACGACAACCTGTTGGTGTGCGACGACCGAAATGGCCGGGTGCAGCTTTTCGACCTCAAGGGACGGTTTCTGCGGTCGCTAGGGACGACGCAGTCGTGTAAGGGAGTCCTCTGCTCCCCCATCAGCGTGGCCTGCGATTGCCACGGACGATACGTCGTCACGGAGTTCGGGAGTCACACGATCACCTTTATGAGCCCCGAAGGAGAGATCCTGAGCTGCGTTCGTAACCTGGGCTTCGACCACGGACAACTTGTCCACCCGCGTGGGGTCGCATGCGATTCCCTCGGCTATATTTACGTTGCCGATCATGACAACGGGAGAATTGTCCGATTTTGAACTGTTTTTCAATAATAATGTGTGTTTCAATTTCATGACGTTTGTGGTGTACGTTATAGTGATTGTAACGACTTCCTTTTAAGCGTTATCAAACAAACTTATTGTGTACATACATAATATCATGAACTTTTAAAGAATGAGTTCGTGGAAGTTGTAATCCCTATGTTTGTATTGTGCTCCATAGGCTGTGTATTGTGGTAACGAGGCGGAGTTTTGTTGCTATGACATTCTGCTGCACCTGCGAGATGGCAACGTACTCAAGTGAGCCGAAAGATGAGAGGGAGGGTCACTCGACCTCTTATCTTCCATTTCCTCCCCCACCCCCCTCTCTCTCTCTCTCTCTCTCTCCCTTCTCACCTATTATACTCATTCAGTTTGGTGGAGCAATATTCTCCGGCAATTCGACAGAGCAATTTCATCAGATTTGCTGTCGATATCGCTCTCGCATTCAGCTCCAACAATTATGCCAAATTTTTCAAGCTTGTCAGGTAAAAATTATCCTTCCCTCTCAATTTTCACCTCTTATCCATTCGAAAATTTCAGGTCACCTATATGCTCTTACCTGTGTGCCTGCATCCTTCACCGATACTTTTCAGAGGTTGGCCAAGTCATGTGACTAATGCTCGAGGATCACATGATCCAGTAGGTGATCACATGATCTCCTCCAATAGATTCGTACCACAGCCCTGCATGTGATGACAAAGGCATACACGCTCTCCAAACCCACCAGCTTCCCTCTCACGAAATTCACTGAAATTCTCAGATTTGAAAACGAAGTTTTGGTGAGTAGTCACGTGACCGTGTGATATCCACCTGATTATCATGTGACCAACCTTCAGGCCACCGATTTCTGTGTGCACTTTGACCTCTCTCTGACCAAAAAGATGGTGAAATTGGCACGAGAATTTGCCCACCATCCTCCCTCCTCTCTCCCCGCCCTCCTCGCTCCATCCCTCGTTGGAGCTAAAAGGGTCAACAGACGTCTCGGCGAGATTGTCAACGGGGGACCCCTCCCGTTACCGCCCAACTTGCCCCGCCCATACGACAGCTTTGCTCCGGGTACACCGCTAGCCCCGCCTACTCCGACACGCCCGACTCCGCCCGTCTACTCAGACAAGGATCTGACTGTTGCTATTGATCTGATCCTGGAAGAAATCACTCGGAAGGAGCTATTCTCTGTCGCCATGGAGATGCTGCAGAATGTGAGCGAGCTTTAATTGATAATATATTGTTTGAGCCACAATATGGCTTCTCCCGTTGGTTGCCGTAGGAACGCGACAAGTCTGTAAAGCAGGCGACTGTGAGTGCATTTTGTGAGAGCTTGACGAGTGAGTGTGTGGGGGAGGAATGTACAAGTGTTGCCATGGCTACCCTTGAGAATGCTCAACGAGAGTGGCAGGTTCGGGAGAACGCCCAACTCCTGGACGAGGTCGCGAAGGTCATTTCCATGGAGATCGAGTTTGGCATCATAATTGAACAAGTTTCACAAGTGATCATGTAAGTTTTTAGGTACTCATCAAAAATTTTAAATAATAATGTATCGTGCATACGTATCTACAGAGAGGGCTACGAAGAGTTGGTGACCATGGCAACATCTGTGTGTGATGACATCACGTGGGAGTGTGTGAGGAGTGTGACTGGGGACGTGTGTGTGGAGGTGGTGAGGGAGGCAGAGCTGGTCAGGCAGGAAAAACTCGAACAACTGGAGAAACTGGTTTTGGCAAAGAGGCGAAAGAGATACTGGGAAAAGTGAGTTTGCATTCGTTCAAAGTCTCCTCGCAACTCTTTCTGGAATTGTTTTTTAAATCAGGGAAAATGAAACTAATTTTTTGTTTGTTATGGTTATGGTCTCTATTTACAGATGGTGTTGTTTATTCAAAGCTCGTTGCCATGCCCGCGAATGTGTATCAGCGATTCCGTCCCTCCCTCCCCTCCTCCCCCTCTCCGCACAGCCGGTTGCCAGGCGACAGTTGCCAGGGGAGACCCTAATTAGTGGGGGCTCACTTGAAATTGGTGAAGGGAGAGTTGCGGATTTTCTAGAGGCTGAACGATGTGGTCTAGAAGAGAGAAGGTTTGTGGAGAGATTGTCAAACAAAATTCTATATAGGAATAAAGTAGGATGCCAAATTTTACAATTTAGCAGGTTTAAATTTATCACTCACATTTGCCTACTTGTAAATTTTGAACATCGTTCACTTGCAGGAAAAAAATTTCATCTCCTTTGGATCTTCCTTATCTTCTCTCTCACTCTCTTCTTGTCACTCGTCCCCCATCCCTCCCTCCCCTCCCTCCCTCCCATCACACCTCCCCACACATCTACTGGTCCCTCGCGTTACTCCACTCCGTCCACCCCGACTTACCCCACTCCCAACCGGGGGACCTGGCTTTGCTGGGATACCTCGAACAGAAGTTGACATTTCGTCCCCCGGGGGCCAAACCATCGGGGGATAAACAAAACCTTCTTATCCAGGGGTTCGTGAAATTTCAGTTTCTGCGACCCCTCTTGCAGAAGTAGGCGGGACCGGGCAGCTCAAGATTGCTGTCAAGAGTGTTCAAATTGGACGCCATGGTAACAGTTGTCATGGGAACAATCGCCGGGTATTTTGTGGGGTGTGTGCTCTCGTATTACTGGCCCCAACACCAAAGGCTCATCAGACACCAGAGGTATTGTACGTTGTTTGTCATGTGATCATCATGTGATGTCACATGACCTTTTACAGAGCTACAGGGATGATGTCGTGGAGAATTTGATGTCACTCTCTGAGAATGGGTGGTGGAAGGAGAGTCCGGTTCCCATGTTAGTCCTGGCTCCATTCCATGTCGAGGAGCGCTACCTGGCACATTGGATCATGCTCAGGATCTGTGAGGGAAAATATCTGTCATGTGATAGTCATGTGATCTCCCCAACAATACAGCTCTCCAGTCCCTGCCGCAGAGGAGGCCAGCTGCTTTTCTCTCTGACGTGACCTTTGACACCCTCCAAGGCAATAGCCACACCCCCATCATTGACGAGGAAAAGGTAGTCTCTGTTGTTAGAACCACTGGTTATAATACGTATTTAGCACCAGAGGAAACTTACACATTATGGATTTCACATCTACCATGAATGTTTATCACTATGCCACTACTAGGTGTGTAAAGGGTTAAAGTGGCTGGCTGACCACGCCCCTCCCCAGCCACCCCTCTCGTGCATCAGTGTCCGAGACTACGTCGAAAAAGGTGAAACTGAAACCAATCGATGACCTACAGAAAACCTTTCCTTCTTCAGGAGTGGAGAAGTATTTCGTTCCGCTGTTGAGGAGAGACGCAGAGATCAGGAAAGAAAGTGGCCTCCCGTCGCAGGTCGATATGCTCTCCCATTTTTTCTTCTCTTCTTTCTTCACACATACACACTCTATTGTTTTGAGGTGTATACAAATTGGAGCAGACCCAATCCAGAGCAATGCGCGAAATTCTACCGAATAAACCTCAAAAGTGTCCCGCTATTGCAGCCTACAATATTGTATTACCCCTTAACCCCTAGACAACAGAATTACTCGCGGCAGCCTACCACACCTTGCTATATATTTAACCCCTAGCTAACAGAATTACTCGTTCTATTCTCCTCCCACTGCAGTCCCCAGGTGCCCTGGTGTCTCTGTACAACTCTGTCGTCTGTCATCTCGTCTCCTCCGCCACGTCTGATCATCTCGGTGCCATCTCATGGCCACTCCCCGAGTTTGCCCCCAGGCACTTCGCTTCAACCTCTAGCACCCCATGTCTTCAACAGTGAAGGTATAATGTACTAAGCAGTGCATGCAATGCTTAGAACTTGGAGTTTTTCCTATATATAGATCGTACGTAGCTTCGTCTCTTTGTCTACATTAACGTTAGAAAATGCTACAGCTCTGATGTGGAACGGAGAATGTCTTGCATTGTGTTTTGTGTGGAAGCATTGTTTCACCGTCCGGTTCCTATTCCCAGGACTGCCCCGACTGGATTGGAACGGGGACATGTGCAGGAACGAACTGCGGGAGTGCATCTCTCGGTGTCAGCTGGTCAATTTGATGTGGCTCCGCCCACCACTAATGAGCCGATCCACGGCAACTGGGTGGAACAGTATAAACAGTGCTTCCTCTATCTGGAGGAGTACGTCGGAACAAGCCACACCCTCTTACTACCAAGGTCAGCCTCGCTACCATGGCAACATGTGGAAACATACCATGCCAACAGTGTTCAATGTATTTCTTGCAGGATCAAGGCTCTCCTCCGTGGGTACATGAGTCATGTGACTTTCAACCAATCAGAAGCTGTTTTTCCTTGGGATCATGTGGTAATCACGTGCATCGATCACATGGTGTCTATTGCACCTTCCGATCACTGGGTCACATGTTTCCATGGTAAAACAAAGGAATTTGCCACACCCACCTCGTGGCTGATGGCCGAAGCTGCAACCAGTTTGGAAAGGGTTAATATGCTGAACCCTGACCCCCCACCGAGACCGAAGAGACATCGTCGGAATATGAGTGACTCGTACCTGTTTGATTCTCACCACCTCCCCACTCTCACACCCTCACACCCCGCCCACCTCCGCCAAGCCTCACAGTCGCCACTGGCAACCAAACTGGTGGAGAAAATCGGCACAGAAAAGCAGCTGTCCATTGAGTGAGTTCAAATAATACAGTGGAACCATCTCTCTAAGGACACCCATGAAATGAGGACACCTCTCTAATAAGGAAACCTTTCTTTCCCCAAGAACAGTTCGTGAATCAACCCCTGACCTCACTAATATATGGACACTTTCCTCTGTCCCATTGGTTTCCCGGATTAGAGGGGCTGTAACTGTATTTCTCTCTCCAGCTTTGAGGAGCAACTGAAGAAAGTTCTAAGAGAAGGGAAGACTCCCCACACCCCTCTCCTCACTCCATCTCCTCCTCCCCGTCACGATGACCACACCCCCTCCTCCCTGGAGTGGGCGGGGTCTCTGGAGGTGGGGCTTCAACTCCTCAAGATGAAGATTCGGACCTCCAGGTACAAATGAAAAGCACTAAAGTGCAAACCCTCGGCACACTATATAGAAATGTGGAACCCATACACAAGTGTGGCACCACCACAATTGATGGTCTTGACCATGCATCAAAAGAACAGCATGTTATGCATGGATTATTTCCAAAAAATGGCAAGCCCTATTTCTGTTTGAGGGTAAAAAAATATTGGGTCGAAAAATTGCCAACCTTTCATCCCTCTATTAATTTTCGTATTACCCGTGGATTGTTTAGTGCAAAAAAAAACAAACTAAGGTTGAAAAAATGGGCGGCCAGCCCTTCAGACGCCATTTTATTTTCTAGCCCATGTATATACACCTAAAGCTGTTGATATCGCTCATAATCCGCCTCGTATCCTGTAGTGCGAGAATAGTCGTAGACACACGTACACAGAGACTACACGTAACCCTCGCTGCGCATGCGCGCCGAGGGTTAAGTGTAACTACTATTATATATACAACTCTTGAAATTTTTCAGATTTCAAGAAAAAATGGACAGACACAAGCTGCAGATGCTCGCCAACACCAGAAGAAAGTGAAACTGAATCATTTTCACTTTCAACTCTCCCCACAATCTCTTGGACACTCACCACTATAATTATTATTTCCCTTTTACTGCATCACTGTAAATGCTGTTTAAAAAATTTGAATCAAAACTATGATAAAAAACACTATTCCAGATCCTAAGCAGTTAACAAAAACTACTTTTACAAACTAATTATGATTTATACGAAAGCAGTTCAACTAGAATAATATTGACTTTTCCCATTCTGCAATGCCTGCTTTCACCTTCCTTAGCAACTGTTCCTTCTCGTTGCCAGGCAAAAATGCAGCTGCCACTCCATCTAACACCTATAGTGAGCAATGAAAGGGTTAAATGAGTCAATTACAAAGAGTTAGTGGGGAATTGCAGGTGCTAACACCTCTATGAGCAATAAAAGGGTTAAATAAGTCAAATAAAAATTAGTGCAGGCCTAGGAGCATGAAAGGGTTAAGCTGCTAACACATAGAAAGCAATAAAAGGGTTAAAATGCAATGGGTTAGAGGAAGTGTAAAGAATGAGAGTTAAAACTTACTGATTTTACCAGCTGCTCTTTCGTCAGCCCCACCTCCTGACTGGCCGCTCTGTACTCTGTCAGCAGGTCGTTGCCGATGACTCCCGGGTCGTCAGTACTGAGAGAGAAACTGGTTCCATCTAGAGCCCACCTCTTCACCGCATGCGATTCCAGCTCCTTTTGCGAGTTTGTGAAGATACTGGAAGTCAGGCAGGCCTGCATGTGATCATAGGATGGTCACATGATACATGACCAATCACTGATGATCACATGCATGACTGATCTTGTGATTGTCACTTGCACCTCACGTGACTGATCATGTGATGATCACATGACTTACCTCAAAGTGAACATTCTTTTCCCTGGCGAGTTTGTAGATAGCTTCGTCCTCAAGAACTCTGTACCCATGGCCGATTCTTTCAGCTCCAAACTCTTCAATTGCCTGACAAAAAAAGAAAGCACTGGTTTTAGCAAACTTTCATCATTGTGTCAGCCACATTGAAACACGACATTCAGTAGCACTCCTCTATCCTGACACCAATGGGACGGAAGAAAAGTGTCCATATTAACGAGGTGTCCTTATTTCAGGGGTGTCCTTAGAGAGGGGTTCCACTGTATACTGAATTGAACACAGCAGGCACACCGCAGGTATAGCACCTACCTGTCTAACATTATCAGGAGGACCTGACTCTCCGGCGTGCATGGTGAGATGGAGACCATTAGCTCGAGCTGCGAGGAGAGCCTGCGTTTGTATCGGGTCTAGTGGAAGAAGCTCATTTCCAGCGATGTCGACTCCTACCACCCCACGTGGTCGGTACTTCAGAGCCAGCTCGAGGACTTTATCAGCATCCTCTGGGACAGCAAGGAGAGAGGAGGGAGAGAGAAAGGAGAGAGGAGGAGAGAGAAAGGAGAGAGAGGAGGGAGAGAGAAAGGAGAGAGGAGTGAGAGAGAAAGGAGAGAGGAGGGAGAGAGAAAGGAGAGAGGAGGGAGAGAGAAAGGAGAGAGGAGGGAGAGAGGAGAGAAAGATAGCTGAAGACCAGAGTCCTACACAAAAGTGTTGTGAAACTTTAATGTATGGGTATGATGGGTCACACACACACACACACATTCATCCATTGATCCATCGATCCATCGTACCAATTACTTTCAATGACGTAACACCATTTACGTACAAGAGAACAAGAGGCTAGGAGGCCAAATTTAACTCCAATAGTACCAGGTTTTCCTCTTATGAAGATCAGAATTTGCCGAGATTTAACCCCGAAATCTTTCTCTCCCCTCTCCAGTCCGGCCATCACCCCCTCCACATACTGCTCGGGTTCCATCTTTTTTCCCATTGGATTGTGGCGCAACTCGAAATAGACGACGTTCTGCCTCCCGAGCTCCTCGCAGTACTCATACGCCACTCTCTCCACCGCTTCCTTCGTACTGAAATCGAAAGACATCAACCGCGTGTAAAACAAAAAGAAATCTAAACACTTATTTTTCTTGCCTTACCACCCATTCCAACAAGGGTTTGAACAGTTTTGCATTTGTTGTACACACATGAGTAAACGAAACGACAAACCAACAATGCCTAACACTTTGACTATAGTTGGAGGTTGGAATAGCGATACTATCTCGTCGTATATACTCATTTTTTGCGATTAACTCAAAATGTGCCCCTAATTTGATTAAAATTGCTTTCTTTTATATATTATAGTGCACCCCGCATTACGGGTAAAGGCACTGATTTTATTCTAGATAAATGCATTGATTATCGGTATATATATATATACCCTCTTTACATACTCATATACAAATTTATCCCCCTCCCAGCTTTCCGTTTTATTAGCTTCCTCCCTCCCTCCCTCCTCTTCTCTCTATGTCTTACCACAGGATATCACCAATGGCTCCGAACACCTCCAGGAACTGGGCCAGTGAGGTCGCTGGCGATAGGAGCATTATCCGCTTCTTGAACTCTTCCTCGTCGTCATGGGGATAATCCAATTGGTGTTGCCGTGACAACTTGCGAAGTGTGTCAACGCGACAAGCTCCATCCATGTGTACGTGCAACTCAACCTACATAATACACACACACGAGGAGGGTATGGATCTAGATTTCTTAGGACCAGAAAAACATTTTCTTTGAATTATGTATACAATTATTGTAACTAGCAAGCACCTTTCATAATTAGCTATTCGGCTTCGCCTCGTACTATTATTCATACCGCACCAAACTGCACTGTCACCTATTCAAACCGCAAAAGAAACAAAAGCTGTAGGAATGCAGCTAATGAAGAAGCCGTTCATTGATGAGCCAATTAGCTACAAGCAACGCCCCACTGCAGTAATTAGGTACCAGCTTACTTTCGGCAATCCGGTGTAGTCGATCCGTTTTTGCGCGCCAGAAGCTGGGGCGCGGGGCGCACAAGCTGCCGCCGCCGCCGCTGCTTCTAGATCCATGTTTACTCCGGCCGTTCTGTGCCGCGGCGCAGAGAGGTGGAGAGAAGGAGCAAGGCGAGCGGGGGAACCTCTGAGCTGTGGCAGCGGTAACAGCACAGAATAACGTTTCCGGACGATCTGACGAAGCAGCAGCGGCTGGAGACTCCACCCGAGCGTCATAATTCCATGCAGAAAGGGTTAAAAAAAAAACGTGATACTTAGCCCCACCCATTTTCTCACGCACGGAGAGATGGTTTTCGCCTTTCTTTGCCACTCAGTTACGGGCACGCCGTGTAGGATACTGTATTCTGCCGTCTTTGGAGATGACCTTAGCATGGAGACGGATCACGTGAGGCTATATTATACCCTACATGTAGCTCAAAATACGTTTGCCTCGTCTTTGTTGCTCACGTGATGCTCACGTGACTAACATTTCCACAGGATTCTACTCAAAAGGGTCAGCGAACTACTAGGAAGGAGCAACTGTTGCAGGTATGGGATTTCACAGCTGGAACGAGGAATGGGAATGGAACACTGTCTGTCCAGGTCTCATGCCGGGTTCAGAGCGAGTATGGATTCAGGACCGCCGTCAAGGACAGAGTTCACAGGTCATCAGAGGACACCAGCAACGAGTGAGCATATCACACGATTTTAAAAAATCTGACAAAAACCCAATCATCGTTTCAGTCACAGGTTTCAACCTGAAAAGGGCTTCTTCAGGTATCCAATAATTTTACAGGCCTGAAAAAGTGGGAAGGGTGTATTTTGAACAGGTTGTATCCTGGCGACCCATTTCTTTCGGCTAAAGCAGTGGTTTGGAGCGTCATTGAAGAGTAAGTTGAGGTGTTTTTTTGGTCACCATTTTTGCTAGAGAAATGGGTATTTGAGTTGCTTTTGTTCACGACACGTTTAATGTAATTACAGTACCTCTGAGTACGGATGTGCCTATTCTGAATTAAGTGACCCAGTGACGTCGATTGCATTGCACCGATACTATATGCGGCTGCAGATGTGCGTATGTGATGATATGTGAGTTGGATGAGAACAGGCTACTGGCCGAAATAGTGCTCGCCGTCATAACAAGACTGATTCGTGATCACGTCACTTCACTGGAACAGAAGAATGCAGAGGCAAGCCACAATATCTCCTGGGTAGAGTGTTCTGTCTAGTAATCAGTGCAGTGGGTCCAAGTCCCACCAAAGGCAGCTCTCTTTTCCCATTTGTGTAGAAACACTACGGGGTCAACGATCCCATCTCGGAGGTCAAATAATACACTATTAGCATGGGGTTTGATATAAGTGTCCCTTGTAGAGAGGTCGTCCCTGTCTTAGAGGGTCCCTTAATGGACGTTCCATTATAGTTTAGCAGTTGCCTTGAATTGACCCACCCCTGTTCCCAACGGTTACCGTGCAGATTTTGCTCAAGGCAGAGAAGACAGCTGCTATCCTCCACCATTTCCTGCCCTGCGGTCAACTCGTCTTCATGAACCACAGACTAATAGCTCAGAACGAGAGACACCTCGAGAGGACACTAGCAACTAAATAGCACATCATCACGATAATCATACAATATTGTTGAATATAGAAACACATGAAGGTATACTAATCAACACGATACAGGTAGAATTTTTACAGCAGATGAACTTGCCACAACGTGAGAAAGTTATACTATGTACAAGACTTTTTACAGCAGATGCACTTCCCACAACGTGAGAAAGTTATACTATGTACAAGACTTTTTACAGCAGATGCACTTCCTACAATGTGAGAAAGTTATACTATGTACAAGACTTTTTACAGCAGATGAACTTCCCACAACGTGAGAAAGTTATACTACAAGCCAATGAAAATTGTGAAAGTTGTAACATGAAAAATACGTTAGTTTCTGTACAAGATACTAAGACACTAAGTTGCGTTAAGAGGCGCACACAATTGCACATAATTGGAGTTATTAAACTCGTGACAATGTGACGTTGGTTGGAATAATGGAGGGAGGAGTGTGGCACCCCTGCTACATGGGGATGGGGAGAGAGTTAGCGACAAGTGGCAGCAGCTGGTCCGTGTGTTTCTGCCAGTTCTTCATGTCCTTGGAGACGGCGCACCACGCCTCGCCGTGGCGCGGCTCGGCCACGTTGCACCTCTTCCTGACTGCTTCCTGTTGCGCCTGAGACGTATGCGAGAAAGGAGGAAGTGACGGAAAAAGTCAAGGGTTTTCCCCCCAGAAACATGACACTATTGGAAGCATCTTCGACACACGTAATTGTGAACTATTCTCTACTGCAGTACATGTTTATACATATAATATACCGACCTCAGTCCCGTGCTGCTGTTCAAACTTGTAGAAGTAGGCCCAGGTGTCTCCCAGATCAGGGTCGATTTTAATGGCTCTTTGAAACCACTCTCTTCCCTTACTGATCTTCCTCTCAGTCCAAAACAGCCTGTCGCAGAGAGAGAGAGAGAGAGAGAGAGAGAGGGGGGGGATATGATGATGGATCAAGGGGGAGTGAAGATAAAGACACAGTGATGCAAAAGAAACACGAAGCGGAACAAAGTGCTAGTTTTATTACACGTCGTTGTGAGCTCTATAATACTGTCCAATGAAAGGCAAAAGGAGTTCATTCTTCAGTAAAACACCTTAGTTAAAAATACATAGTGAAAGTTTAATAAATGCAAAATAGTCAGAATCCCCTCAAAAATGAATCTTAACACCCCAACTAATAAAACTATGACTCACTTGGCCACAGCTAAGAGAACGTGAGCGTCATGTTCACACTTCTTCAGTGCATCGACGCTCTTCGTCTTCCGTTGAGGACGTAGCTCCATGAATATGGCCTCCGCCCACAGGATCCCAGACGAGGGGCACTCCTGGAGGGCCTTTGCCATCAGTCCCATACCGATGCTCTTCTTCTCACCCCTGACCTCGACCCGTACCGCCTCCAACCACAGCTCCGGAGTCTGCAGGTTCTTGTGACGTGCGTTCTCAAGAATCGAACGAGCCTTTGTGATGTTGTCTGCGGGTGGGTGTAGAGAGTAGAGAGAGTAAAGGGTTAATTGAGAGTCATGTGAGAGTCATGTGACTCACTGTTTCTCTCCTCCAGTCTTGAGAGTAGGAGCCAAATTGGGACGGAGTTTGGGATTTTCTTGACCTGAAGAGAGAGAAGTAAGTGTGTGTGTGTGTGCCGGTGAGAGACAGGGACATACTCCTCTGTTGTAGATGTCCCTAGCGACTGCGATGTCTCCTCGCTCCTCTTCGAGTTGCCCTCTCATCATCCACAGCTGCCAATCACAGAGAAAAACAGAGAGTAAAGTTTACGCTGAAATCCACGATTTACCTTTGCGAAGTCTGGATGCTTCTCTAGAGCCTCTTCCAGGAGCTCTCTAGCCTGGGTAGGGAAATTCCAGATAAAGCCCACCATTTGGGCAAATAATTCCCAAGTCACTCAAAAATTCCAAATGAAGCCTGCCATATCTAAACAATGCACACCCATTCCAAATGATGCCCACCTTTGTGAGGTCTTTCAGGACCCACTCCAGTTTAGCAGACTTCATCATGACCCTACCTGTCCCCGCACTGCTCCGAGCCTTCTCGAGCAGCCGGCGGGCACGCTCAAACTCTCCGCTTTCACTTTCGAGTTTGACGGCAGCCAACCAGATTTCCTCGCTGTTGGGGTTGGCCTGGAACGCTAGGGCCAGAATGGACCGAGCTGCTGGGACGTCTCCCTGCGAGAAAGAGTGAAACTAGCGACCATCACATACCTCAGAACCATGTCTATAGCTGGACACATACACAGAATATACATATGCTGGACCCCTCTCTAAGGACACCCCTGAAATGAGGACACCTCTCAAGGACACCCCTGAAATGAGGACCCCTCTCTAAGGACACCCCTTAAATGAGGACACCTCTCTAACAAGGACACTTTTTCTTTCCCCAATCAACGTGACACCCTTGTCCATATTATTAGAGAGCATTCTCATTTCAGGGGAGGGGTGTCCTCAGAGAGGGGTTCTACTCTATCATTGCAATGTCTTTCGCACTTACAGACAGCCATTTTGACTTTGCCCCCATCAGCCACAGGACCTCAGCCTTGGGGCAGTGGGCCACTGCCTTCTGCAGCAGCTCCTCCAGCTGCTGCCGACTCCCGTGGCTCTTCTCAAAGTAGGCGGCTCGCAGCCACACATTCTTCTTGCTCGGGAACACCTTGAGCATGTGTGCGTGGATAGCTCTGGCACACTGGTACGCCTCGTGAGCTGTGCACTAGAAAGGGAGATAAAAATAATCACATGTTGAACTGAAATTGAAAGTGACGTACACTTTCGGCGTCCTCCACCCACTGGTCCAGTCTGTCCTCATCCTCAACTCCTATACTGATCACTGCGTGACTAAAATAGTAACACTCATCATTACATCGTCAGAAATGGTTCCTATATTTAGCAGCGTTGTACGTACATGATGGCCTGTGCGGTGTGCACAGAGCCAGAGTTCTCGCACTCCTCTGCGTCAGTGATCCACTGGTCTCTGTTGATCTCTACCAGGTTAGCTTGCAGAGATGACAATGCTGGGGGAGGGGGAGGGGGGAGAGAAAATAAACCGTATACTAATCTGGACACAAGTGGAACAGTATAAAGTGTGAGGTCTCCCAATTTCAGGGGTTAAAGTCTCAGTCTCAGAACCTCTCTAATCCCGACACCAACGAGACAGAAGAAAGTTGTTTAGCGAGGTGTCCTTGTTTCAGGGGGCTAAAGAACTGTTCTCGGGGAAAGAAAAGGTGTCCTTATTAGAGACGCTTCCTCCTGTGTCCGTGTCCTTCAATACAGTTCTCCTCCCTCCTCTCCCTCCCTCCCTCCTCTCCCTCACCTCTCTCAATGATCTTGGGCACCATGTGGAGGTTCTCCTGGCTCTCCTCCAGTTTCGAGGCAGTGATCCAGATGAGTCGGTCGGTCGGGATGTTCTCCCTGGCCTTGTTCAGTACCTGGTTTGGGAACCAGACACAAACAAAGAGGAGAAACGGAGAAGAATGGGTGTGATGGGTGGACCCCATAATTATAGTGACCCTGTCAGGACTATGAGGAAAAGGTTTGGGCGATGCATACACTTGGAATGGTGTGAACCTAAAAATACCGAAACGTGTGGGAAACTGAGAAAACGTGATTTTCGACGAATAGGGGGAAATTTTCGCAGATCACTTGACCAGCCTCAGGTATGAATGAAAACGAAAACCTTTTTTGCCACTCAAACAACAAAATCACTTCCCTACAAAGTTTCAATGTCTCTGAAAATTGCTTTTGCAATGACGTCGGGTACGAAATCCTAAAGAGAAGGCGGAGAAGAGAGAGAAAGGAAAGAGAGAGAGAGAGAGAGAGGGAGAGAGAGAGAGAGAGGGAGAGAGAGAGAGAGAGAGAGAGAGAGAGAGAGACCTTCCGAGCGTTCTCGTAGCTTTCCAGCCTTCCCAGAGCCAGCCAGAGCTCCACTGACAGAGGACAGCATTCCACGGCTCTGTTGAGGAGGATTTTGGCGTCTTCGACCTCCTCCAGCTCAATGGCCGCCTTCCAGACACGAACCGACGTCGGTATCTGCTCCAGAGCTATCAGAACAAAGAAAGATTATTCAGGGAAGATACAATTTGTTAACTGGTAGGGATGTGTACACACACACACACACACACACACCACACATGCACACACACTCAAATATTACAAACGCACCTTTGCGAAGGACAGATCTCTTAGCAGAAACCTCGGTCTCCAGTTCAGTGGCCTTGATCCACAGCTTCACTGACTGTGGCAGTTGGCGGATGGACTGCGCTATGACTGCTTTGGCCTGATCATCCGGCTGGAGCGGGCGGGTACACAGGTGAGATTAGCACACAATAATGATGAACTTCAATCGTAGCTTGCTTCGTTGAGTTTAACCCCAAGCTTACCGGATCAAGTTTAACCCCGCCTAGCGTGGTACGTGGATGAGAACATAGAGCGATAAAAAAGAGTCGGGAAAGACTACTAGACATGTGTGTTGCGAAAAGTAGAGTGAGCACTTTCACAAAGTGCCGTAGAAATACCGAAAGTAAGACTCTCCCAGAGAAATCTTTCTCAGCGGTTGTGCCTCAAACGTGAAACACAAAGTTGTTTAAGGAAAAAGAAAAGGAAATCGATAGACCTGCAGTCTGGTAGCCTCAAGCCAAACATCTTCGTTCTTTGGGCAAGCGTCGCAACCCTGCATGACGATGTTTCGAGCCTTCTGAATGTGCCCTGTTACTTCTTCAAGTCTCGCCGACGCAATCCAACCTGGGGTGGTGGGGGAAAGTCATGTGATAGTCATGTGAGCATCATGTGACATACCTGGAGCGTGGCTGGGGTTGGTGGTAATGACAGACTTTAGGAGTAGTCTGGCTTTTTTCACGTCACTAGTGGGGGAAAAGATCACGTGACGAGGGGTATAGATCACATGACAGTCATGTGACCAACTTGATGTCTCCGGTACTCTGCGGTGTGATGCTGTTGAGGTCCGTCAGATAACCCTTTGGATCCACCACAGTCTGGCCCGATACAGAGTCCGATACCTGTAGCAAAGGGTTAAAATCACAATCACTGAAAAGTTTATTCTCGTCCTATTGACGGGCAAGTTTACTTCAGCTACATAAACCCTAAACAGACCTTATGAAGTTTAACCCCAAGCTTAGTAGATACAGTTTAACCCCTAGCTGACCTGGTCGAGTTTAACCCCAAGCATACCAGATACAGTTTAACCCCTAGCTGACCTGGTCGAGTTTAACCCCTAGCATGGAGTTTCTGGCCTCTCCGATCTGCTTGAGGTCGATGTGGGTAGAGGTGGCGAACCCCGGGGTAATGGTCCCCCCGATTTGGGTGAGGGTTCCGGGGTATGGGGTGATGTACCCTCCAGCCTATGGGGGGCAGGGGGGTTGAGTTAGTGAAGGAGGCAGAGAAGAGATGCAAATGAGGAAGAGGGATGGAAGAGGAGCACAAGTATGATGTACCGTATAATACAAGGCATAAAACCTTTTGTTGCGAATTTTGGTGAATTTTTTCATCGCCTGAGACCATTTTACATGTATGTTGGAACAAGCAATCGATTTGGCTAAATTTTGTCTCCAGCTAAAGCCAAATAGCTATATAGAAAGTTTTCTCGCTGGACTATATTATACAACATTATCTGGGTCACCAGCTGGGCTGCAGAGAGCGTGTTGTGTCTCCCAGTCTGGTTTATGGCTCTCTGGAGGACTGTATCAGGAACTGGTGTATACCTGGAGAGAAATGTACCTCATACTGAAACTGAAACTGAAACCAACAAGAGACACACAGTGTGCAAACCTACCAAGACTTACACACAGAGTAGTGGGAAAATGTATGAGGGCGAAAAGTGTGAAAATGTCGACCATTTTACAGAAATATTATCATCCAAAATCAACAACCCTTAGCTAGATACGTATATGTACTACGACATGGTATAATGTACCTATCAGTATACTACGATATGGCATAATGTACCTCTAAGTATACTACGATATGGCATAATGTACCTCTAAGTATACTACGATATGGCATAATGTACCTATCAGTATACTACGATATGGCATAATGTACCTATCAGTATACTACGATATGGCATAATGTACCTCTAAGTATACTACAATATGGCATAATGTACCTCTAAGTATACTACGATATGGCATAATGTACCTCTAAGTATACTACAATATGGTATAATGTACCTCTAAGTATACTACAATATGGCATAATGTACCTCTAAGTATACTACAATATGGTATAATGTACCTCTAAGTATACTACGATGTGGCATAATGTACCTCTAAGTATACTACGATGTGGCATAATGTACCTCTCAGTATACTACGATGTGGCATAATGTACCTATCAGTATACTACGATGTGGCATAATGTACCTATCAGGTCGAACGTGGGGATTTCTCTCCCTTTTGTTCCTGGCGTCTCCCACATCCGGAATACTGAGCCATTCGTCGTTTGACACCCTCGATAGTGCCCTCTGTAATTGAGAGGTGGGCATGGAATATTATACTGTCCCCCCCCACTTTTCAACAAATTATCCACAAAAAAGTGAACTCCAGTGTAAAAAGACGGACCTTTAAGTCAGAGAACTGCTGTTGAATCTTTGGTCGTTCCTGCCTGAACTTTTCAATCTCCTCCTGAAACCTCTTCTCCCTCCTCTCCTTCCTCCTCTTGTCCATGTGGGAGTCGATGGAGTTGTAGATCCTGTCAGCCTCGCGATCGTCTGCGTCGTATGGCCCACTGGAAAACAGCGAACCTCCGTACCCATTGAACTGAGTGAAGTTGGGAAAACACAGTGATATAGATAACCAATGAGGGCAAAGATAGGCATGAATTATGCGTCATAATGACTGCTGGCAAATGTCTATATCCACTGAATTGCAGTGAAACTACACCACTATCTTCCATGACGACTTGTACACTACATGTGTGGATCAATCACTCCAATCCAACCAACGAAAGAGCGAAAACACAGTAGGCACGGAATTTCGAAAGCTTGTATTCGCCAACATAAACTGTTCTATAGAGAACTACTGAAGGCAAAAGAAATGCACGAAAGCCAAAGGTATAATTATGCATACAGTTGCGTTGTCCTTATCAAATGTTGCATAACAACATCATTGAAAAGCAAAACAGTCAGAGTTTAGATGAAACATTTGGAGACACCTTCACCTCACACTAATAGAGTCAGACTCCAATAGTTTGTGATGGGGCAAAGAAACATAAAGATGAAGGCAAAACTGCTTTATTAAAAATTTGTGGTGTGTAGTTACCTCATCGAAATTGGCTTCGTTGAGATCTTCTTCATCTGACCTGTCATCGTCATCTGTTTTGGACTTCTTCCCCGGTCGAGGGTGCCGCTCATCGCTATGGAAACAAAACAAAGGATCGGGTCACACCTGGTTGCCAACCTACCATAGTCGTGACTACACTCACGAGATGTCGCCTGCCTCGCGGGCTGGTCCGATATCCGAACGAGTCGTGAATCCAGTAGCACTACAGACGATAAACAGTGTGCGTTAAATGGAAATACGGGTTTTCACTAAGTTAGTTTGTTTGGCTCACCCTCTGCCGAGACCAGGAACGTAGCCGGGCGGAGGAGCCTGGCTCAAGAACGCCTTTCTCTGTTTGCTAACTTGCGCGGAGCTCATGACTGGACAAAACACACAAAGCTGATCAACGACACGTTGTCGTCAGATTGCGAGATAAAGTGGGCGTGGCTGGGCATGCGCACAACACCACCAACCCACGTGTTGTGCAAGCTGACCTTTACACTTGACCTGAGCTGAAAAGCGCCATGTGGAGCCGAGCAGGCGGTTTGAGGAGATTGCAACGTATATGCAGCCTTTCCAGCTACCACATGCGGTCGTCTTTACCCCGCATTCTCCATTGTCAGTAGAAAAACCCCACGACTCAGTAAACCTTGTAACTTTGTCTGCTAGATTCAAGAAGTTGCACAACTTCTTCTCACATGGAGGTGTCACGGGAGGTTGCTAATGCTGTTGCTATGGGATACCCAGTAGTTGCCTTGGAGACGACCCTTGTGACCCACGGCTTACCTTACCCGGACAACATAAAGTATTATTTACACACTGAATTTTACTCATTTGCACAAGTTTCATGCAGCATTGCTAGGGAAATGGAGGAGATAGTCCGATCTAATGATGTCATACCAGCCACCATAGGGGTACTGGATGGAAAAATTTACGTCGGTCGGCAAACAAAAATTTTATGCTTTGACGAGAAAATTGGGTGCTGTTTTTTGCAGGTATGACAAACGATCAGTTGGAGCAACTGGCAGATATGGCTCACGTTGGCAAAGCTGTCAAGATATCTCGTCGAGACCTTGCCCATACTATCTCCCAGGTCACATGACCTCACATGATCCTCACTTGATTATCACATGACTCAATTTCAGGAGAAGAGTGGAGGAACTACAGTGGCAGCCACTATGATGTGTGCAGAGCGTGCGGGGGTCAAGATTTTTGTCACTGGGGGGCTGGGCGGGGTTCACAGAGGGGGAGAAACAAGTCAGCCCCGTAATTTACCCCCTGCCACACCCATTTTCTGTCTCGGTTCCGTTCCAGCTATGGACGTGAGTGCTGATGTCGTGGAACTGGGACGAACGCCAGTGGCAGTGGTGTGTGCTGGAATAAAGTCAATTCTGGACATTGGGAGGAGCCTAGAGGTTCTAGTGAGTCCCCATTCTATGTCGGAATGGAACAGAACCCCGCTGCTAATCCCTAGGAAACTGAGGGAGTCGCCGTGGCAACACTAGGGGAATCCCCAGATTTTCCTGCATTTTTCTCGCGATCTAGTGGCTACAAGGTGAAAAAAAGGAATCGGGGAAGAGGTTTGACATGCAATTTCTTCATTTTCAGGCTCCATTTTGTGTTGAGTCTGAGACTGCAGCTGCAAGGCTAATAGGTACGCCCCATATTTCAGGACATGCCACTAGCTGGTGTCCTGAACTGGAAGTGTCCAGAACAATGGTGTGTCCTGATATTCCAGACGTGAGTATCGGTCTCGGCGTCGGGTCCGGAGTGGTGATAGCAGTGCCCATCCCGGAGGAGCTGAGTGCTGAAGGGAGAGAAGTGGAGGAGGCCATTCAGGTGGCTCTGCAGGCTGCTGAGTGAGACACAACACTAGTCACGTGGTGGTCTGTCATGTCAGCAACATCTTACTTCTATCCTGGATTTGTAGCTGTCTCTATTTAGGCCCATTGTGGGAGTGTGTAATTACCATCTCTCGTGCTTTTCTCTCCCTTATCTAATCTCCCTTCTTTCTCTCTCTGGCATTGTTTCGCCAAAGGTCGGAAGGGATAAAGGGCAAAGAAGTGACGCCATATGTCCTCCAGAGAGTGAACCAACTAACTGGAGGGAAATCACGTCAAGCAAGTAAACCCTCCCCCCTTTTCTTGCATCGATCAG